TTAAATTAAAGTGACAGGACTTGCCTATTCACCCCTGATGTCTCAATCTAAAGACAAAAACTCCACCATCACTATCTGCACTTGAGGAGTCCTCCGGAAATTTTTCTTTACCTGAAGGAGTCTATTTTCAGTCATTACGTTGTGTTGTAGGTAAAGTATAGAAGGAACAATGTGTATAGAATAAGTGAGCCGTCTTTGCTTTTGAAGCACTGAAGTTATAACAGTAGATTTGACAGTGACCTGAGTCAGTGGGACCCTCCAGCTGAGTGGATTGGATGGAGCTGCAGGTGTTGCCAGGAGCAGCTTTAAGGGTGAACACTCTGTTTTTATCCAACATGTCAATCTGGACCTGCACAACAAATTTCCAGACAATGAGAAATTCACTTGTCTTCAACTTTTCACACAGTATTCCACCTGTTTTCATTCTGAATGTTGGGCTTGTTCTCACCTGAGCTGGAACATTTCCATCGTTTAGCAGCACCAGCGGCAGGGTGTGCCTTCTCCCCACCAAAACTCGCCTGAACGCCAGCATCGGGGTTCCTTTGCTGCTCCTAAGAGACGGACGCTCCACACCCACACTGGGCAGAGTGCCCTCGCCCATTAGGTCGAACTCCAGCACCTTGCTCTTTGACGTAGGCGTTGCTCTGAATACGAAGGAAGACAAAAAGAAAGATGAACTGTTAAGGAAAAGACATGTTGCAATTTTTTAGCTAGAGCCTACAAATTCCACCTGATCGAAGCAATATAATGCAAAATCTTAAACTATCCTTTTAGTGGGAGCATAATAAACCTGTAAAGTCCCTCCAATGTGGCCTCAAACACTGCAGAGTACTGATGCACCGAATGAGGAGTGAAGGTGACCACGGCGAAAGCGTGGGATTGGTTGGGTATGTTCAGTGTGGTCGTAGACAAATCAAACACCTCCACATTTCGAGATGTCTGTAAAAACACACAAATTATTTAAATCCTAACTTAATCCACGCACGTTGTCGTCAGACTCAGCTTTGGTTCTTACTTTTGGCCCGACGCCTTTGATGGCCATATTAAGCACGCAGTGGACTTTGCTGTTATTGGTGATTTTGAAACGGGCTTTGGCTGTTTGCCCAACCAGGGCGTTGCGGAAGATGAATTTGTTCTCATCCAGAACATAGACGCTTTCAGCTGTGCCGAACTGTTCAGAGGAGAGCTGGCTACTGTTCTGGCACAGATGGTGCTCCTCAAAGATGGAGGCCATGTCTAACACTATGCCTGGGAAGCAGAACAAAACAACAAAGTCTGTGTGTTAATGAGGTCAAAATAATCAGATTATTAATCAGTGAAATGGGGCATTTGGACCAGAGCTTGGTGAGGTTCACTGATGGGTCACACAGCTCTCACCTGGCTTGCAGATATCAGCCAGCAGTCGGTAGGGTATGCCGTCAGGATGCTCTAATGGGTTCCGGCCGGTGATGTCGAAGAGCAGACCCTGGCTCCAGGAGCCCAGCTGCTCAGCTACACAGTCCACCGCTACCAGCTGCTGGCACCCAGGCAGAAGGCTTCCAGTGCAGGGGAACAGGGAGAACACCCCGATGGTGAGGCGGTTCTTGAAGCAACACAGGGATGAGAAGACAGAGGAAGAGGAGGTGAGATCACCAGGGAAAAAGACACTTTATGGCCAACACAAGCCTTACAAACCCCCAAAACACAAAGCTAGTTGCTACGCTACTTTTAAAGACAAGTCACTTTAGTTTTTTTTCGTCTCTCACCTGGTGAAGGGTCGACTTTCTTTGGAAAGACTCCCGTCGTGGTTTCGCATTGGGACAAGACGGCTTTGCAGAGTTGCTCTCATCGGGAACCATTTTAACTGGACCCCTAGGACCGTCACACAAGCACAAAACTCCCAATTTAACACACTTAAATCATGACTTTGAAGTTATTAAACAAGCTGAAAGAGACTGAACTTGCAATGATTTCCAAGTTGGAGTTGAGACGTTTTAAAGGTTTGACAGATGTTCCTGTTTAATATGCAGAATCAGCAAAACAAAACATAGGTACATCCAAAACACAATCAGCTGGTACGTACTGGATGAAAAATGTAAAAAGCAAATTTGTTACTAAAGAAAAGTCCTTCCTCTTTATTCCGAGCGTGTTACAGCTTTACATTGCAGACTTTACTGAAATTATTGGAAATTATGATGCAGTTAAAAAAAACGTAGTTCATGATTTCCCTGTTTTATTGCTGTTTTTACAGTTTGTTTGTTGTTTATATACATTTTTCTTGTTTCTGCTTCCTTTTAGAATGAATCCATTCTGCTTTATAAGTTACTGATTGCTCCACTGTTTTATCCCTGCCACCTTCACCTGGTTGGAGTAATTTCTCACTCTGCTTCCCAGACGTTTATTTTGAGTGTTTAACTTCAACTTGGTTTTGGCTTGATCTGCTATCTAAACCTCTCCACTTTTGCTTAACCGTGTACTGGGGACCGATACAAGCAACCGTCGTATTTCAGCATCCTCTGCTCTCCTACCCCAGCTCTGTGATCATGTGAGAGATGCTGAAATGCATCTCGAAGACTCCGCTGTTCTCTATCGTGAGGTTCAGGCTTCTCTTGCAGCCGAAGGCCATTGGACCAAAGTTGAGGTCGTATGCGGGAGTGATGGTGAATCTAAAAAGCAGAAAAAAGTCACAACTTGTGCAAAGTAAACCTATACTCATACTAGTACAGACAGCAATATGATCATGTTTCTGTACCACAATTATACATCACAGATATAAAATAAAAGTAGGAATAATATACAGAAACCTGGAGAATACAGCCTCGGCGGAAACTTTGATATTCAATGTGGCTATGGTTTCTCCTTCTTTCCCGATGTTGGGTTCAATCACCTACAGAAGATTAGATCAGTTTCAAACCAGCAGCAGGTTTAAATACAGTGAGCTCATTATGAAGTCAGTTCAGGAAAAGGCAGTTTTATATCTGATTTTAAGCTAAATCTAATCTGAATCTAACAAGTATGTCACAAAAACATATTTATATGAAGTATGATGTCATAAATTATTTATATAAAGTTAGGAATGATGTAATCATCTGACTTCAACCTTTGAAGTGTATTTGTGCATATGATGTAATTTACTGTAATATAAAACTACCACTAAAAAGTGCACTAAAATTTGCCACGGACAGGCACAGAGGAAGTGAAATAAAACCAAAACTGTCCAACAGGTCTATGAAGCCTTGATGATTTTGTGTCTCGCCTGGCAGGGCAGGATGGGCTCCTCTATCAGGGAGATCTCCCTGTCCGGTTTGCAGGTGATGAGCACTGTGGTGTGCCTTTCATGGGGGATTAGAGAGCCAGTGTGTGGGGACACTGTGAAAATGGATCTCAGGTTTGGCAGGATTTGGTTCGTCTGCTCGATAGAGAACCTTTTGAACAGAAAATGAATGGAAAAACTGAATGTTGCACCGTTTCCTTCATGGAAAAGAACAGATGTTCACTCACCTGTAGGCTATTTCGTATTTTCCTTTGTTTTTCAGTTTGACAGGCAGTTTGACCTCACTATAGACGCTGAGAATGCCAAAGTCCAGGATGCTATCTGCCAGAAAAGCAAGTGTGTGTCAGTGTGATATGTGGACAGGAACTCCGTAATTCAGAGGAACAAAGACGAGAGAGCAGCTGAATCAAAAGGCCGGACTGTTGGATTCATAAGCATATAGTTTGGGGGTTTTCCATTCAAAACTGGAGGACATCTGCCTAAACACATCTTTTCAGTGGTCCAAAACCTCCGGTGCTAATTGTGTGTTATTGCATCATTATTAGACTCATCGTCTAACTTGGAGTTAAACCTAAGCAGCAGGTAACTTTGGTTTGTGTTAGCAATGGTAAAAACTACTTTCCTGAACTTTTGACCTTTAAATGGGCAGGATTAAAATATTAAAATGAGTGGATGTGTTTGATGAGATTTGAATATTGCTTTTTCTTTTAGTTGGTAACGTTTTTTTAATTAATCATTAGCTTATTTATGTATTATCTATATGATGTATTTAATTTATTGAAAATATGTATTTTGTATCGATGTCAAGTGATTTGAGTGAGCACTAACCTTTATTGAGTCTTCCCCTTTATGTTTAGACATTTTACAGATGGATTGAAGGCAGAATAAACTACTTTTTAGATGGATATTTGCCAAGAACATTTAAAAAATCGCCTGTTTACTAATCAAAACTGGTGATGGCGATAAGACGAACACCCTCTAACCCTAAGCCAGCTGGGTTTGACCATTTTCCAGCTGAGCCTGAAAATAGGCCTTTAAATGTCTTTAGATTAATCTGAGTGGACTTTCATCATTAACATTTCAGGGTATCTGCTTGTACCTGGTGTGATCTCCAGGTCTATGTCATAGGCTTCAGCAATAACCTGAATGTTTTCAGTTTGCACAGTTCCAACAATCTTCTCTGCATCAGAAACCTGAATAAAGACAAAAAATCATCAGGATCTGTAAGTAACAGCTGGTCTGGCTTTACACAGGAAGCATAGCCCCTTGTTTAATAGCTAATAATTCAGCTCTTTTTTTTTTTACATCAGGAATTATGTGAAATGATGAGAGCTTAAGCTTTTTCCAGGAATCTATTTATTACATTCAAAATACACATATTTCATTATTTAATTATTCAATCGTCACATAAACTCTTTTAACTTACTTCAAGACGTAAAATCTTCTTTATATTGAGTGTCCTCCTGGGCCTGAAGTGGATACTGAAAAGGAATGAAGAGTGGGGTGGGATGGTGTCCTCATCTATTGGCACCACAAACTCCTCCCCCAACTCCTCGACGCCCTGCAGTCTCCAAGACACAGGCAGAGCTGTCTTATTGCGCATCATGACACTGCGACTGTCCCTCCTGTGGAGCGGGATCAGAGAAAGTGGGCTGAGTGGATGAAAAAAACAACAGTGGGGCTGAATGTGCGCATAGTGGAAAAACCCAAACGCTCTGATTAAAACTGGCATTAGTGTTGCCTTCTCTTCCTTTTTCAGCCCTTGGTGTTTCGTGAGTTTTTATTCCTACTGCCACATCTGTCATGGGCCTCTATAATTTAGTGACGGCTAGCCAACCAGATTGGTCTGCATCTTGAAGTCCGACAGGATCTTAGTGCTGTCATTTCGCACAACCTCGGCAGATGTTTGTGAGCCCTACCATGATCCATACTGTTGTGTCCTCACCTGCCTTATTGCATATTGTATCCAAAGCAACTTTGATCTAAAGCAGCTGGATTAACAGGTTAATTTTTGGGCAAACAAGGCAGTGAGGAGTGAGAAACTAGAATAAGGCTTATATGAACTGGTAGTAGAGGAAATATAGAATCTAGTTTACATTAATGAACATTTCTACATATGCATTTGGTACCTGTGCAGCAGAATTCGGCCAAAGTGGAGGTGCTTGTTATCCAGCTCCAGCTCGGGCCGAACACCCCAGCATGACAGTTTGATGATCACAGGCTCGGGATTGTCCCTGATGTGGCACACTATGCAGTCCTTAATTTGTCCCTGTTTAGTTGGGTAGGCCCACACCGTCAGCTCCTGCAAAGATGGAAAAACATTTGCATTTCAGTTTCGCACTGGCAGCTGCCATGTTGTTAAATCAGTCAAAAGAATATTTGTGAAAAGCACCTTCTTTTGACCGGGTTTGAGGGTCAGGGTGGGGGGATCCAGTAGATATGTGGAGGCTTGGGTGTCATGCTGAAAACTGAAGTGGACTTCTGCCTCCAGATCTGAATTATTACGAATGACCAACTTCTCTGCGTTCTCTGGATAGCGGCTCTCCTTATACCTGAACATGAAAAGGACATGTGTGGAGAAAACAACACATTTGACAGCTTGATTCCACCTCTCTGCCTCTCACCTGTCTCTGCTCTTGCTGCAAAGTAAAGGCCCAAATTCAAAGTGTCCAGCACTGATCACGAACGCCTTCTGAAGTCCATTCTTCATATGCTGCACCCACTTGCTGTGGGCGAAAACAGTCCTGTGGAAACATAGTGGTGGACACAGAAGTGTTTAACTTTAAAGTCCCTGCAAAGTAACAAAAGTCTTAATTCTGAGTATGCTATCTATTTTTGTTCTAATATTCCATAAAAATGATTCACTCTGTTGCTGACAGACAAGTTTTAAGCACACATAAGGATACTTTATGAGCAAAAAGACCGACAGCCCACAGTCTTTGCTGTAAGATTCCTTCTCCTTTCCTTATCAATCATATTCCTGCATATCTTTACAGACTGACGTGTAATCTTTGCAGATGGATGGATAGGTGCATATTCCTCTGCAGGGGAGTTGGTAGAGTCTCCGGGTCCCCACAAGCTCAAAGTTTAAGGCCTGTTCAAAGGTCCCAAGCGACTCTGAGTAGAACCAGACCCTCAGAACCACCTCGCCGTTAGCTGGTACGAGCCAGCGGAATGTGTTCAAACTGCACATAAACAGAGAAAGAGCCAGTGAGACACGGCACCACAGCACTCAGAGACGCTCAAGGTGTTTTGCTGAGGGGACGTCCTGCCTCTGGCTGACTTTCATCTCCAAACTGGTTTGCTGCTGATCTTGATCAGCGGAGGAGGCCTGTGAAACCGCGTTGGGCCCGTTTTGCCTTTTTACTTTTGTCTTGCCGGAAGCTTTTTTCTTGCTCTTCAGACTCTCTTTGGCCTTTTTATCTTTGTCCTTTTGCGAAGAACTCTCCTTATTGCTGCCCCTGCTCTGACTTTTCGAGGCTGTCGTAAGTCCGTCCTCCTTTGTGCACAAAAATCAAACAAAAAAAGTCTATATCTTCAATTGTTATGATACAAAACGATGCCATCATAACAAAACAATACCTTTCCAAGCGACTCAGTCGTTTCTTCCTCTGAACCTTTCTTGTCCTCATCATCGTCCCCTCCTGAAGGAATCAGGAGGGTGAAACAAGACTCTGGAGTCTTAGCTGCCTCTCTGAGAGTGGGAAAGGGAACAACAGAGAAGGTGGTGGAGGGAGGGATCTGTGGGCCGCCCGGTGCCAAACCCAAATCCTCCAACAACTAAAGAAGGAAAAGGACAACATTCACCATAAGATTTTAAAACTGATTTAAAGAATGGTGGAAAAGTATTCTTAAAAGAAATATATCTCAGTCTGGGAGTCGTACATCATCCACTGGAGGCAGAGGACCATTACTGAGCAGCTCTGTGACACCCCCACAGTCTTTCTCTGTAACATCCAGGACTATGTGGGGGATGATGTCTGATGAGGGCATTTTTTCTTCTGCCTTGTGATCGGGTTCAGCCGATGCTCTTGTGTGAGTGGGCTGTGGGGATGTGGTCTTTCCTTTCTTAGTCTTCTTGACAACCGGGATCTGCACACAGAGAGACATTCACTTTATGTCAATGTTGACTTTAGTAAGCAAAACCGGTCAGTTGATCCGTTTCAATTATAAGATTTTTTCTGTCAAGGAACGGTTGAATAAAGAGGATAAAGAGGTTCTGCACAGACTTTAGAGGACATAAAAGAGTCCTCTAGACAGTCACCTGTTTCTCTGTTGGCGTGTCTTCTGACTGCAGGGTTTCTTCGCTGTTCAGAGGGACAAGCAGCAAGCCCTGGGCTCGATCCCAGTACTGCAGGATGTGCTCCACGTGGGCATGGTTCTGCTCATATTCAGTGAACTGACACAGCAGGTCGTCTACAATGCACTAGAAAAGGGACATCTTTTTTTCCATCACTGGATTTGGCAGTCGAATTGTTTGCTGTTCCTCAGTAATACTTATCACATTTTCTTAACTGCAGGTAATCTCTTTTTAAATGAAAACACACCCACTGGATGGTTTTAAACCAATTCTTATGTAATCTGAGAGAATTCTGATGTTTAAAAAAGTGATAAACCACCTGAAGACATTAACCCTTCTCTGAGTGCCTTTCTTTCAACAGACTGAATGAGGAGCTCACCATGTCTCCTTCCGGCTTGTTCACTTGCTGATGAGAGTCTGTTTGTTGTCTCCTGGTTTCTTCTGTCCTCTTAGGTGATCTGTCAGTTTCTTTTTGATGCACTGCACTGGCTAAAACACAACCACTTAAATGTTATTGGTAATGTTACTGGTTACTGTAATGCACCAGTTCCACACCTGTCAGCTCCATTAAATCTTCTAAGTTTAAACCAACAGTATGAAACTTTTATGTAAAGCTCTCTGTCCCAGACTAACCCCTAACCCGAATCTGGCAGACACTCACATTTGCTGACAGCCTCACTTGGATTTCGCAGTTCTTTCGCGTCCGTGACCGAATCTTTGGAGTTGCTGCAGACGGGTGTCTGAACAAAGGCGTGTGTGTGTGAACGCAGGCTCATAAAGAAGTGCAGAGTGCTATACACTGTTAGTTTGCCTTCATTAAGCATTAAAATTACCTTTTCTTTCTCCAGTTTGTCTGTGGCTTGAGGAGATGCTGAATTTTCTCTTTTGTTTTCTTCTGGCTCCTTTAATGACTCATCTGCTTCGTTTCCATGATGCACTGAATGGGCAAAGAGGAGGCCTGTGGGTGAGCTGGAGCATGTCAGATTAGGCTCTACTTCTTATGATTTGGCTGCATATTAACATGATCAAATAAAAGCAGGATTCTTTTTTTTACGTGAGGTCGATCTTTCATGCAAATTACGTTGTTCTTTCGCATCAAGTGACTCTTTAGCGTTGCCACACGAAGAAGTCCTCTGAACATTCGCCGTTAACTAGAGAGGTAAGAGAAATCAATTCAAAGCTCAACAACAGGGACAATAAGTGTGTATGTTTGTATTCTTATGGGAGTTTTAGTCCTGGACAAGAATTCATGTACAGACCGGTTTTCCCTCCATTGGGTTTTTCTTCTTTGGTGGCTCTTTATTCTCTTTCTTTCCTGCCCCCCTATTTTTCTTCTTAAGTTCTTCTTCTTCCAGTCTCTTTATTTCTTCTTCTTGCTTCTTTTGTTCCTTCTCTTTTGCGACCTGCTCAAGATCCCTTCTGCAGAAATGGACGGAGACATATTATTGCACTATTACTTCATTTGTCTCTTACAGCTTAAATATGCCACCGCAATTTGATAAAAACTGTACTTGCTTACGCCTGAATAACACCAAGTTAAATGAGGAGCTCATGAGAAGCAGGATCTCTCCAAAGTACTGTTAATTAGCATCTGTAAACTAAATATCTACTCTTTAGTACAAAGTCTGTGCAGTATGTGTTGATTGAAACACTCCAAAAGGAAAGACAGTGTGATTTATGCAAATGCATTATGGAACGACCACTGACTTCTTTTTATTTTGAGATGAATGAATGTTCTTCTTACCAAAAATGTAATCGACAGTTACTTTGTTTGTTTATCCAAAACTTTCTTGGCCTTTAGCCTAAAACAGCTCATCTTCCAGCATCTGGATGAACTCTTTTTTCAGCAAGGATTTGTTTAAAAATCTAACCTTTCACAGTAATTACGCTAACTACGACGTCTTCTGAATGTGCACCTCTCATAAATTTGAGGAAAGTCATAAAAACCATTTCTGAACGCTATGGAGTAGAGAGAGGTGCACTGATCTGAGGTCTGCCCCTGTGCGAGGCCCAGAGCCTGCAGTCAGTACCTGAGCTTCAGCTGGCGGAGGCTCTCCAGGTGATGCTGAGTGATTCGCTCCTTCTCTTCCAGCGGCAGAGCCTCGTATTGATCCTCATCCATCTCCTGCAGCCACCTCTCCTCCCTGTCAGCTCTTTCCTTCTGCAGAGCCTCTGAAGAACACAGTGTTACACAAACAATAAGCTTGCTCAGAATGAATAACCAACAGACATTTACAGGTGTGTGTGAGTGAAAATATTAAAATATTACCCTCAGCTTCTCTCTGCACTTTCTCACGTGCTTTCAGGGCATCGTAGGAGTCAGAGAGGTTGACTACATAGATGTGTTTTCGGTTACTGAGAGCCTTCAGAACAATTTGTAATGTGCTTGAAGCACACTGGCTAAACACCGACTCCAGGCCGTCAATTACAACTCCACGGAAACAATCTCTCCGCTGTTATCACAGCAATTACAATACGACAAAAAAAAGAGAAAGACAGGAAATCAGACTGAATAAATCCACAATGTCTGACAATTGACAATAAAAATAAACAATAAGTCACTAACCTTTTATTTAATTAGCATGTTTAGTGTACAGTGTTGTGTATAAATTCTGACATTAAGTTGTTTTTTTAACTATTTAGAGTTAAAGATCCATTTGTACCTGAAATCTTTCAGCAAGAACATCAACAAGGAGTTGTTCAGGCAGGACAGAGACCAGTGCTGCCACATCTACTTCCTAGAAAAAACAGAAAAAAGGATTTTGGAACCGTATTAGAGATAAAGTACTGTGCAAAATTATTACACAACCTTCTCTTTTCACTCTAAAGGACACACAGCTCCTGGAGAGGCTTCAGAGATGGAGGAGAATGGAGCTCAGAGCAGAGAGGAAACTTTGGAGCTTGTTTAAATCGTTTTGTGCACATATTTCACTACATGACAGAAAATATAAAAATATACCAGGCCGAGGCTGTTGATAATGTTTCCTGTCCCCAGAGGAGCCGTGGAGTCATGCTCACTGCCGCTGGTCTCACTGTGCTTTACAACAGCTTCACTGTTAACTGACACTAGACCTGATTTTGGCTCTGAGGCTTCAGTGGGTGCTGCAGGTCCTTCCTCCGTGGCACAAGGAGCAGCCCCAGCTGGAAGTAAATGTGTATCTTTATAGTTTATTTCTGCGTGGTATAGACTGAGACTGAAACTGTAACTGAATGGCTGATACTCTGTGTAAGCTTTCATTATTTTTTTGCGTGCACATATATGTCACCCACCAGCCTCTGCAGCCTTTTGTTGAGCACACTCCTCAGCTGCAGCCTCATAAAGTTGTCTTGCTGACAGGCTCACAGCTGAGGTGCCATTTCGCAGCACTTCTGTGGCCACGGCATCGACATTCAGACATGCTGCCCCGTAGTGAGAGGCCAGAGCTGCTGCTGTGCGCCTCGTTTCTGCCAAATCAACAATGCTGGGTTAAACTTAACATTGTTGCAAGCAACTATTTTTTATCTTATTTATTGGTATACCATTTTTGAATTTTTTCTGTCTGTCACTGCCTTAACTTTCCATTTGCGTGGTACCTGTGAGGGGCGCTCCGTATACGATAACAGCAATGCCTCTGCGATTGCGTGCAGCCAGTCCCTCTGGTGAAAGGTCAAATCCCATATGGCGGGCAATTGCTCTGGAGACAGGGGTCATCTCTAACTGTCCAAGCCTCCCACTGCTTCCTACCTTGGTCAACTCTGAAACAACTTAATGCAGAAAGTAGATTTAAACAAAAAACTATTTTTTTCCCAGACAAAAAAAAATTGAAATTAGATTTTCCTTTGTTTCACTTACATATTTCTGTTCTGGTGCTGATCTCTGCCTGGATGTCCTCCTGTGTGTAATGTTTCCTGGGTTCATCTCCCTCTTGGGCCACGTTTCCCTCTGTTGAATTCAGAAGGATTAAAGCATACGTTGTGACAGACGTCAGAATGATGTGCGTTGACACGTCTGTGGAGGTATAACAATGTCTGCCTGGGGCTACCATCGTCTCTCAGCTGGGAGGAATAGTTCTCAAAGTATTCCAACAGCTCTGGGGGAAGACCCTCTCCGGGAACCCTTGGTGGAAGGAGCAGAGTGTTCTTTTCATCATATCCTGGCATCAGACGCAGGATCTGAGGAAGAAAGAGGAGAAACACAAAGTAGGAGATGGCAGAAAACTGTCGTATTGTAAATCTGTGTTTTACACTTTGTTTCCTGTATTATTTTGGGAAAGACCCTTTATATGTTTCTACTTTAACTGTGGCTACTAGTCTGCCATAACAATTTCCAGAGGAAACTGGTCCCCCTGATTTTGTGTGTTTAATGCTCAGATCAACTGTTAGAAGGCGTACAGTATCTGCATTCTATGAGCTTGGTGTAAGATGTTATCCTAATAATTTTGAGAGCACTTTTGTGTCTGACCTAATTTCCCATGAAGATCTACTACGTAAAATAACAGGCATTTCAACCCAAGTTCCCTTGGATCAACTACTTCTGTTTATGAGTTTTTTCCATTTTCATATAGAATTAATGATTCTTAGCTCTTTTAATCAATGTTGTCCTTCTTTTCCCAAATGTCTAATTCATTAGCCCTATAGACTCGTTCAGCCTCCCTGAATCAGTGGCAGAGGCAGCACATTTTAGAGGTCACATCTTCAGCTACTGGGAACACCTGTGACTGATCATTGAGCTGTTATCCCTGAAATGCCCCTTCATCACTATGTTTCTGCTGCCGACACTAACAAATGCACTCTTATTCTCGCTGCTGACTCTGCAGATAAATTTTCCAATACCTTTCCACAGTATCCTTAAATCCTATTGATCTATCACTCAGACCAACAATGCCATTCCAATTGTTCAGAAATCAATCTGCTCGTTTAAAACCAGGAAGCAGAAACCTAATAGCTCCCCTAGAATCGATGATGATGCTAGTTTTGAAAAAAAAATGAAGGCCAACAGAAGTTATACCTCAGAGCAAATCAATTCTTTTTCAGTACCTTTTCTTCTTTCTGGTACTGTGTGTCAAACTCCAGGGAGTAAAACTCGATGGGGAAGGGGCAGGGGTTTCTGACTGTAACTTCAGCTTCGCCCTCGATGCTCAGAGGAAGAAGGGGCCCCAGCTCCAGTACAGATGGGCAGAACTCAAGTTGTGGCTCTTCTCCATGTCCCTGAGCTGTTATGAACGCCTGCTGAGGGCTGTCAGCCACACGGACCTCAAGCCTCCGGTTGTATACACCCTGAAGACACACATGGTTATTACACTTAATTTAGAAACACATTAAAGCAGAGAACATGTGATTCTCCACACTATCCTCCTGAGACCCAGTTATCTATGTATATACTTATGTTTACATATAGGGGTTAGTAGACCCGAATAAGTGTAATACGTAGACTCTGCCATGGTAAAGGAGGTTGCTTTTCCTCATGTAGGGACAGTGGGTTGATCTTTGTATTTAAAAGTTTCCAAATGACTTAAGTACAGTATTTTAATTATTCAATGAAGACATTATTGGTTAATGACACATAAAACCATTTTGCTTTAGTTTTCAAAAGGTAGTGTGATAGTTTCTATCATTAGTCCGATAGGTCAAAAGTGAGAATGGAGGGTTTCAGGAAGTGAAATCAAATCATAGTTAAATGGTTTTACCCCTTTAGCAGGGCTGAACTTGATCTGCACACAGACGCGTTCAAGAGGGGACAGCAGACCAGAGCAGGGAACCACCTCAAACACCACGCGCTGCTCCCCCTGCAGGACCTTTTTGTGCTTGTACAGATGCAACAGCTTTTCACCCTACAGGATCACAAGAGCAAAGCACAGACCTGTGTTAAATACAAGGCTGAGAAAAAAAACTCGACATTTTCATTACTTTTTCCTGGAAACTGAAATGTTTGCACCTTTTTGACAGGTTTCACCTCCTCAGCTATGCTCCAGTGACATGGCACCAACTCGTTGTTCTGCAGCTGCATTGTCTTTATCTGCAAAGAAAAGTTTGATGACATGTAAAAAGCAACCAGAAAGCTTCTTAATGTCTGACTAAAACAGACAGACTGAGTCTGGGAGAGACATGCTGCATGAGCCTGCAAACATAAAAAAGATGGATGACATCTTAAGATTTATGGACTGAAGACATTCAGTGTTTGAGTGTCTGACAGCAGGAAACTTCAAACACATGTAAAGAGGTAAACAATGAGAAAGCAGTTTAGTTACATGTAGTATTTAGAGTTATTTATATATTTTCAATGAGCTTTATTTTCCAAAATGATAAATGTGAGACTAGAGAAATAAAATGGCACAGTTGCATTCAGACTGACTTTACAGTAAACAATCGCAAGATGGCACCAGAGTCTGGCAGATTTCCTCATTAGTGCCCCTTGTTCTTATTACATGCACACACTCAACCTTTGGAGCTCACGGCAGGTTTCCTGTTCCTCCTTTTACACATGACGATCCCATCAGAGAGTCATGAAATGGTCTGTGAGTGTTAATTCATATGCAACCAGATCTTGGAATACCACACAAGCCTGAAAATGATCCAATGTATGCCATCCAGAGATTTTGGCTTTACATTTTCATCCCCATGTCATGATGGTTAAATGCGGGTATTTTTCTATTACCTGACACATGCCACACTGAACTGTGTCAAACTGCAGCCTTTCCTCAGAGACAGTGATGGCCGGCACCGTGAACACTGCACGCAGCCGCACCTGCACGGCCGGACCACCGGCGACCTGTGAGACCGAACAAAGCCGATGACATCTCTGTTTTTCTGTTCGCTGATGACAGACACAGTCAGTTTGATGCTGAGTGTTATTGGTATTCATCGCCTGGTGCGTGCACACCTGTATTGGAAAAAGGACACTTGTGTCCCCCCTTTTGAGCTCAGCTCCTCGAGGGTCAAGTTTTACTGCGAAAGTCTGAGTCTCTCCACAGGGCAGATTCTTCACCTTTTCAAACTCTGCTGTGAAACCTGCAAAAGGAGGAGGTAGAACTTATTTTCACAGATGCAAAGAGAAAAATGTTGACGAGAGACTTAACGAGTATGTGTTAATTATTTAAAAAATAACATTAATGCATATCAGGTATGTAAATGTTAGACTCAGAAGAGGCTCCAACCAACTGGAAACTCATGTTCACAGTGGGAGTCTTAATCAGGAGGAAGATTTTTTTTTTAATGATGGCAGGTCAGAGCAAGAGACGCAGAGACAGACTGAGAGCTGGTATTTAGGCACATCCAGCTGGGGGGAGGCCTCAGGGAGGACACAGAACTTGTGGAAGGATTCAATCGTCCTTCTGGCCTGGTAAAACCTTGGGATCCTCCATGAAAATCTGGAGAGTGCTACTGGAGAGACAGATGCCTCCTGGACTTGTTCCCTCTGCAATCTGACCTCAGATAAGAGCAACATAATGGGTGGATGGATGGAGAAAGTTCTTTAAGACTTCCAGTGAAGCTTGTAGCTTTGCTATCTCATTTTAAGGTCTGGTAAAAACTGGATGATTATTGTTTCTTAGTTTAGATATGCGAATTCTAAATCCTGGCTTTTAGCAGGAATGCAAAGGAGGGAAACTGAAAACTCAGTAGGACAAATGGAAGATTAGTGTTACCTGTGCCTGTGAGACGTTTGCAGTTGGCATGGAAGGACACAGGGATTGATCCGTTATTGATGACTTTTACAGTCACACCGTCAACTCTGCCCGGAGTGACAGATCCAAAATCAAGAACGTACTCTGGGAGCTCAAAACTGGGGAAAAGCAAAAGTTTGATCAAATATTAGACAAAAAGTCTCGAGTTATTCTACTAAATCACAAGGTCTATATATCATGAAGTTTTAGCATGTATAATGGGTTATTGATGTTGTATAATAATCATATAATAAACATTTTGAGGAGTGTCCAAAAACTGAAATGTAGACGTTGGGAATCACACGCAGTTTCAAGTAGCTCACTAAAAAGAGCCATCTGTTATACCAGAGAGAGTGGATTCATATGCACATACTTGCTCAGTTTGCTCCACTGTGTGGGGGAACCATGCACGTCTCTTTGTTCCAGCAGGCTACCAAACACACTGAGTGCATTTTCTTTGACCAGGAGTCTCTCAACCTCCATGTGAAGCAGCTCTTCATACTACAGACAACAGGCAAAAGAAAAATATTGTAGGAAAACAGCAGGAGGGGTAATAAAAGCACTCAAAGTTACTGAGAAAGTTTTAGAGTCTTATGTAAGCATAAATTGGTCGGTAAGTCTGAGAGGCGCAACTAATAATTTAAGAAACATCTTTTCTTGGGTGGTCTTGACCTTGCTGAACACAGCAGTGTGCCTAGAAAATGCCTTTTAAGATCTTACAATAACTGCAGGGATGGAGAGCTCTGACATTTAGAGTCCCTTGAATACCAAGACAACAATATTCGGCTGTGAACTATACAATGGCAAGTTACACCTTATCCGCTGCCTCCTATGTAGCAGCGTTCCTTTAATGGGAGTCATAAAGTTTAAGCTGCAGCCATGTGGATTTTTTTGCACCGTCAAACGGGTCATTTGTAACATGCATCAAAGTGTGTTCATTCTGATGGTAATTATTCACCAGTGAGAATGGAGGGAAATCTGAAAATTGCCAACACTTCCTTAGTGGAGACAACAGGTAACTTAATGTCAATAATTTTCTTTGCACGATGCAATTTCAGGAAGCGCAGAGTGCAGATAAATTGAAGGTGATTAATTTCTTGGAAACTGAACGTAGTTTGAATTCTTTTCACTAAGCTCTCTGCATGCGTCTTTTTGTCTGCTTACAATGAGGGCATAAATGAGACGATACTTCTTATTTCCTTCATGGGTGCAGAGTGTCAGGACACTGATAGCCTGTTGAGGACTGACTGACATTATTCTTATCTCGAATGAAAATGATTGTCAGTTAATTTCAGGAGGAAGGGAAGATGTCAGAAACATCGATGGAACAACACACAATAAATGCTAAAGGGACAAGCAGCAAATAGTCATTTCCAGAGTAATTCTGTAGCTCTTGTCTAGCTGAGCAGGACAACCTGGAAAATCAATACACAGATAAGAAGCACAGATCGAGCTGGGTGCTAACAGCAGGGCTGCAGCTGCACACTTTTATCACAGGCTGACCATGACAGCACAATCACCACAATTTTTTCCATTCGTGACCTCCAAAACAAGAGGAGATTACATGTGTCAACACAAGCATGCAGGTGACCCGGATGGGAGGTCATGTTTACATTTACTCTTCACAGGTTGAGCTTCTTGTGTTGTGGACTTGGAGAGAGCAGTTCCTGAGTTTTGGGGAACCTACCAAAGCTAAGTGGAGGACAATGGACATCCTTCCTTTATGTGCAATAGCTTCTAAATGCAAGTTCAATCCCTATATTTGGTCAACTTCTGGAAGAGCTCTTTGAATTAAAATATGAGTTAGGAAAACAGTTTCCTTCCATATATGCAATGGAAATTTAATTTAATTAGAAACTTTTGGGGAATGGGCTGTTCTTCACATGTAACTGAGGTTTACTTTACTGACTGACCGTTAATGTGCAGTTGGCTGAGTCTGTTGCTCCTCCGTCGTTTGTCAGCTCCTGTCTGAGTCTTTCTGCCTCCACAGCTGCTTTGGCCTGATGCAGCACATCGCCGTAACTCTCCTCTGCTGCAAAGAAAACAGTGTTCCACCATGTGAGGACATCAATGTTTACTCTTCGGCTAATTGAGTGTGATTATGGACATATGTGTGCATACACAGGGTTCTTGGTAAGTTCAAGCCGATCCTTGGGAACACTCCCACTCCAGTCAGCGTGATCTCCTGGGGCGGGAGGAACGCCACCTGCAGCTGCAGGACTTTCTGGAACACTTCGGGGAAGCCGGGCAGGTAGAGCACACGCAGACACTGCTGTGAACCAGCATCAATGTACCCCTGGTCCAGATGCACAAACAGTTACACAGGGAAAATCAAGCATGCACCCAGGAAATGGGACCACAGTTGACTCACCATAGCTGGGATGACCACGGGCCGGCCCGGTCTGAGCTGCTGTCCATCCTCATGCTTCTCAGCTGCTTCCTGCTGCTGTGCAGCTGGAGGGTGATGGTCCACTTCCACCACCTGAATGTGTTCCTCTGTCTCTTCCTCAGCCTCCTCCTCCTCTCTTTGAGGGTGTGTAATGCTGAATTTAAAACCCATTTTACCGGTATTCCTCAGTATTACTTCAACCTCTCCAACACAGTAGAAAAGCTGGAAGAAAATGTATATTATTTTTACTATATTTTCCTATCCTATCCTATACTACACTATACTCTACTACACTTTACTATACTATGCTATAACATATTAACTACACATACTATAGTAAACATTACTATGCCATACAATACTATACTATACTACGCTTTACCATACTATACATTACTATAGTATACTATGATACACTTTACTATACTTTACTACACTATACTATACTACACATTAGTATACTATACAATACTTTAATCTACTCTACTCTACACTACTATACTCTACTATACTGTACTATAATTTCAAAATGTGCCATCTTCACATGCACACACTGGCCTGCTTATGCTTACAAATTATTTCCATCTTTGGGGAAAGGAGAACAAGGCCACAAGTAAAATATAGGAAGACAGCAAGAGGCAAGGAATGCTGAAGAGGAAGGTCGAAGGAATGATCTGCTGAATCGCTTTTTCCCCTAAATCAAAAATCAATGTGTCCTTGTTTTGAATATCAATGATAACTGATCCTGATGGCTTGCATACTTAAAGAGGAGGTGGGAGCGAAGAAAACAGAAGTCTGGAAAACAAGGCAGTGACATTAAAGTGAAGAGTATTCAATCATGTTTTTCTCTTTATTAAGCCCCACTGATGAATTTAGCTTCGATTTAGTTATCTCTCCATTCTGATGACAACTAAACAATAACAGTAATTCTGCTGTCTGCTTCCATTAGCATTCGTTTTGTGCTGTAATAGAGTAAAAGTTGATTGATGAAAAGAATATTAAAAACACCATCAAACAAACTGAGCAATCACTTCATCTCCAATCAGAGATCTCCCACAGACACAATGGGTCTGTTTCTGGGATGGCCCAATGTGTCATCCTGTCAAAGCCCATTAGCTTTCCTCTGAGAGACCATGCGTGATATAGATGAGCAAACTGATGGTATGGCAGTTAAGCCTGAGCTTTGTAGAGTTCAGTGTTTCCGATCCAGTGGCTCGGGGATTTCCCTTTCTAAACATTTTCCTGGAATCTTGTTGCCGAATTACAACTAAACCTCTAAACTTTGGACACCAGCAGCACCTTTTCGTGCTGCTAAATGTGCTGCTGCACAGATCTACTTTGGTTGAAAACATTAACTGAACAAGGACTGCACCCTAAGAAGTAGAGTTCTCTATCAGTCAGATGGTTCCTGGATAAACGGCCAAAGCTCTTAGCTGACACGTGGAAGTATAAGCGTTTATTACATGTGGCTTCTAAATATGGTAGAGTAATAATAACGAAACACATTTGTGAGAAATACGAACCTGAACTCACAGCCATGTATACATACCTGCACACCGAAGTCCAGATGAGCCGATTTGAGGCTGTAGCTGATTTCTGAAGCTTCTCCTTTGAGTTTAATGTCATATGTCGGACCTTCCTCCACATGGCACTGTGCCACCACCTCCCTGCTGACGTTTTCATGTCCGAAGAATGAAAATGTGAGGAGCTGCTGGTCCCCAGGCTGGAGATGTCCATATATTGGCAAGATATCAAATACCTGCATAAGTAAAACAAAAGCCCAGAGGAACAGGATCAATTCTGAACCGAAAACAAAACAATGAAAACACTGATTTTAATGTGATGAAGACCAACTCAAAGCTTAACGCTGAAGACTAAGAAGCTAAATGTGTCATTCCACCCTCTAAAACAACATTTGCAGCTGCATTAGTGTCAAACAGTCTTCAAAAGGAAAATACCACAGCATTTATGTAGCATGAGCGAGAAAAGAGTTTTTAAAAAGGTGAGCAGATGATCCAATAATGAAAACAATCAGAGTTAAAACATGGATTAAGATGTTACAGCTTCACAAAAGTTTCACTGAGTTTTCAAAGATGATTTTTTTAGTTAGTCTATACAAGTGAGGACGACCTCTGTGTGCAGCATGTGTGTTCGCCTCCACAGTAACAGCACTGTGGTTTAAACCAGGGGAAGGACATTCCCATTAGCTGTCGGATGTTTGCTGCACGTCTCAGGGAAACCTGGATTTGTTTACATGTGCACATTTGCCTACCTCTTCCACACAAAGAGGGCGCGGCGTGCAGCTCTGTGCATCTGCATTAGGCCCTGGGCTGCAAGGAAAAGAAGGGGCACAATCAACTGTTGACGAGGAACTCGCCCATTCTTCAGTCTGACCCTCTGGCTTCCTCCCTGATTTGACCATATCGTCATTTCTGTGAGGGAACAAAAAAATATAAACACAACATAACCCGCAAAAGTCTAATAAAAGCTGAAATATAACAAATGGCCATTTAAAAGGATTGTCTAACATATTCTGTCATATTGAAAACACTGAATTAAAAATTCTCCATTTGGGAGCAGGTGAATGCACCTGATACAAAACAAATCAGTTTTGGCTTTGGTTGAATAGCCCATAAATCATTCATGCATACTGTAATGTGATTTCCAGACGGAGGAAATCTTCAGAACCTATAACCCAAAGAACTCAAACTCTCATTTTCTTTCTTTGCTCTTCTCTCTTTTTCCCCGTGGGATCGCAGTCGGTGCATCCATCAAGTTAATTAAACAGAGTGTTCTATAATTAAGAGGAATTTTAATAGGCAAGCAGCAGGAAACAGGTCAGGATAGATTGCAGTGAAGTGCTGAATAAACATGGATGAGAATGAAAGAGATTTAGTGAGTGAAACCAACTCAAAGCGAGGCAGAATAGTTCTACATTTCAATGCTGCGCGGTGACAGTGGAGTGTGTCTGTGCAACGGCATGTGCTTTGTGGCACTGCACCCATATGTGCGACTGTATGTGGATGTGAGAGTGCTAAAGTCTGTCGCCCTGCTGTGAGAAGCTGGCAGAGAAGCGGCCAGCAGGGGGCACTGCTGGATGGATGCAGCTTTGCCCCTGGTCATCCCACCTCTGCGCACCCAGTGATGAGAATAGGCAGCAAATACAGCACATAGGATTATTAGAAAATAACGTAAATTTTTCTGGATAATCTTTAAAAGAGCCTCTGAGTATTTAGCGGGGGGGGGGTGCTGCTTTTTTAATGTGGGACCTCTAAGAAAGAGTTTGAAACCTGCTGGTGTGGACAGAAGAACAGATGGTGAGACAGCACATGATGACTCTGCAAGAGCTCAGCTCTAAACAGAAATAGTCCTCTCTGACATTCTCGCATTTGTTTGCCTCTCCTCCATCTTTACTTTGTCTTTGCACACCGGGGGCGGGACTGTGTTTTTCTGTGGTCACACTCGCTAAAAACTACACAACGAAGACGACTGAACAACAAAAAGCTCTCCTTCAGCACTGTCCCAGAGAAGAGGCAGGGACGGGGAAATAATGGCCCGTACGGCAGGTTAAACCCACAAAGGCTGCAGTTTGAACATCCGTCCTTTATTTTGTGTGCATTTGATGAGTGACATCGAGAGGCTTTGGAGTTGAAGGCTAAATTAATCTTAATACATTTGAATTATTATCATCTTCATTAATAATTTAAAGTTTTATCATTAAATATGGACAGTATTCTATAACAATGAAAGTCAATGCAACGTTGAAAGTGAAAAAAGTATGTTCCTGAAGCTCCTAAAGATTAGATACATCTGCACATATAACATATATAACACACTTCCTGTTTCTCCTCTGTGATCTAAAATTACACACTGTATCCGATTAGGTCCATAGTCCATAAACAAAGCCCCTTCTTAGTCTAGACATTGAAATGAAACTTTCCTAAGCTGTAAATGTATCACAGCTGAAATAATATCCTGCAACCACAACTACTGTCCAGCTTTTAGGGCAGGCAGCTTTCCCATGAAGTTTGTTGGACTGGTCAGTGAGGGGGGCGAGTTAAAGGGGAAAGCCTTTGGGAAACAGATCACCATCATCTGGATTAATTCTATTAGGTATTAGACAGGATAAACAGGTAGAATTATTATTTTAGTCCTAGCAGCGAACATCAGGACTGAAAGGGAGCTGCAGTCGGTGAAGATAATCATAAGGCGTGAGCTGTCCTGCTGTTCATGTATGTTTTTTAGTGCTGGCATCTCTCATATCATTGTCAAGCTTTATTTTAAGCACAAAGATCCAAACTGAAAATAAAATATGCAGTCTCTGAAAACATGTCTGTTGATCCCTTCTGTTACTTTTAAATCTCTGAGCAGAAATGATTCTAATTAGTGACTGCTAAATCCCTGGAGTTTGACGGTTTCTTGATGACAATAATCTCAAAAATGAAAAAAACACATCTTCAAAGCTAAGTGTTTTACAGGTCCACAATAGATTTAAAGGCTACACCATGCAGTCAGCTAGCAGAAAACACCACAGAAATGAAACACTGAAGCCTGTTTCTGGCTTTCAGGTGAACAGAAAAGTGGGATTCATGCATATTGGATGTGTCAGGCTCAGGCCATCTGTTTTGAGCGGCAAATCAATTAACTCGTACTTTGACTTAACCCATCATGCATTCATGAAGCTCAGGTGAAATCCGATGGATGGAATAAGCCTCTCGTCTAATGAAAATACAGTCTTTCTAGACAGTGTCTATATGTGTTCTGCTGCCTCCGTCTACGAAGAGCATGAGTGGAGAGAAAAGAGTTTGCTCTCCTGAAAATCCCATCTCCTAGGGCTGCGGTGTAATTACTGATAGGGATGTAATTAGCTGAACATGGCTAGATACTGCAGGTTTTGTGTGGGAGAAAGAGACTTAAGAGGAAGTATGTGCACGCAGAGTGAGGTCTCCATTTAATTAGCACGGTGGCCTGTGAGACAGATTGTTAGGAGAGGTCACAATCTAAGACGGGAAGGGTGAAGAAAGGGAAGAGGAGCTTGATAGGGATTAAGCATGAAACAGAAGCAGAGGCAGGGGAGTCGAAAGAGAGAGGAGGCAATGAAAACAGCACATAAGCAAAGCAAAAACTGAGATCAGAAGGAAGAGGAGAGACAAAAAGGACGAATAGCCAAGATAAAAAAGGTTGGGGGGGCTGATCGAGGGTGATAAATCTTGTAGAGCTACTGGCGTTATTTGGTTCAAGGCCATGGAAAGACTATTAACGTATTCACAGTTCATTCCAGCAGAGCAAAAGCAAAGGCTTGACAAAAGCACACTGTAAAGTATATAAAGTACACAATCAGTAAATGTGTCTCCCCCGAGAATTTATAATGGGTTTGGCTCTCAATCCAGAGGGTTAAATGTATAGCTACCGTACTGAAGGCTCCCAGTGGGCAGTTTTAATGTATGGCAGAGATCCATTCTGTTCTTGTCCTGGATTCTTGTCTATTCAGTATCTAGCTGTGATATTTTCCTCTCTTTTTCCATACCCCAGCAGGTCTTCTAAAACAAATGCTCCTTTCCTTCCTTTAGTTCTGCTCTACAATGCTGTCTTAAAAGTTGGGAAATCTTGCCGTGCAAATTTGCCATCAAACAATATGCAATATTTTCTCCTCTTTTAATATCAAAACGTGATCATTGGATTTCCATTCAGCAGCAAAGGAAATATAAAGCAACAGTGCATTTGAACCACACAGGTTTCAGACAACTACTGCAGCATAAAAGGAAAGAAATTAAATGAGAAGAGGCTGCAAAGGGTCTCCAAAAGGTTGGTGAGTGTTGCTTTTTGCAAGCATGTAAATGTTGCTTGTTTCCATTCATCTTTTCTGTATATTTAAAATGTAATTTTGAAACAGCGATGGAAACCGATGCCGACTGCTCACTGTTATTTCTTATAAAAATGAACATAGACTGCATAAATGGAGAATATTTGTCTTGAAGCTGTTGTTCAGTCAGAGGCTTCTTCAGCCTTGGTACACAATGACAGCTCATGATACAATCTCCCTTTATAATAAATAATTTTTCCTCATATATACAGATGTAATCCAACATTTTGGATACTGATGTTGTCACTCTGGAAGACTTCCAAAGATTTCAGGAAAAGACTGAACTGTGTAATACGCTAAAGCTGGAAGACCTCACATTTCTGCTATTTCTGTTCAGACATTTCAATTCTTTGGCTTATCAGCTTGATAAAATGAGCCGTCCTCGCACATGCTGCTTTGGAAACAACATATATGCACCTGATGGATGACTGTATGTGAAGACGCTCTGCAAACCTAAATGAGTGCTGTGTCTCACACTGAGATCAATCTGTCATGATGATGGATTCAGTATTTGAACATTATGCAGATTTTACCTGACGTCAGAGTGTTTCTGGTTATCCACAAAAGTCCAGTGGTAGGACACAGGCAGGGGAGAGCAGTTGCTGATGGTGATGACTTCATGACTTTCTGTGCAGTTGAATACGCAGCCAAAGTCCACATTGGTGGAGGAGAAGTGGAGGTTTGGGAAGTGGACCTCGGCATGCAGCTCCACATTGTCCTGTTGGGGATGTCCCAGGTAATGGATCTCCAGGACCTGCAGAGGTAGAGCAATGAAGCATTTAGGAGTGAAGTCAGTAGTCAGGGCATGCAGGTTTTCCCAGGAGGGTCCAGTTTGACTTGTCTTTTTTCTTTGTTTGTTTGCTAATGACTACAATTGCAATAACTGATCATATAATTGTGCCTAATTTTCCCTTTTCTGTCTGCAACAGAATGTGAACAGGTCACAGATGTAACTGGATCCATAAATAAACAGTGAGCACAAGGAGCAGAAGGACAACATGTGGGAGAATACCGGAGTAAACTGACGGATCCCACACAGAAAGAACTACTCAAAAAGGCCTCTGCTGGGATTCATCCTGGAGCCTTCTCCTCAGTGCATCATCAAAACCATGAATTTTGCATAAGATCTGTTGAGGTTCTGAGTTTTCTGCACTTAAGCTGAAGAACACATGGACACAAAGGATTTTCAGTCCAGCCTTTTCTTTCTTTAAACAAAAGTTTATTAGCTAAATTCTACTTCAGCTTTCCCATAGATCACCAGGAGGTCAGGCGAATTAGGATGCGAAAAGCAGGGCTTTGAAACATGAATCGATTTGATTTCTTATTGCATAGATCATCACTATGCCATGAGGAGGAGGTGTTTCCCCAACCCTGGCTCCACTGCCCTGCTTGTTTTCCATGTTTCCCTCCTCCAGCACACCAGATTCACATTTAAATGCCTCCTTCAGCTCCCCGTAGAGCTTTAAGAGCTGAAGAACTGACTCATTTACATGAAACGTTTCTATTATTTCAGTAACTGTGTGTGTATGGGAGGGGGAAGGCTAACTCCTCATCAGATTCCACCCTCTATCGTACGGCTCTGCTCAGGCTCGGCAGGTTCTGCTTCAACAGCACAACACTGTGGAACAGCAATATCATTCTTACCTCATCCAGTATTCGACTCAATCGATCCCGATAGAAAGTTGGATCAAAGCGAACCCACAACTCAGCCTGGCTTCTGTCACCTAAAACCAAAGACTGCAAAAAGACTCACAACTGTTACACAAACAGCAAAACCTGGCTTATAGATGCAGGCTCCTCTAACCTCATAAAAATTTCATTTTGGTTTTAAATGAAGCATTTGGATCAACTCAGCATAAAGGTCTGAGCTTGTTGATAAATATAAAACATCTGAAATTACGCTGAAATATTATATTGCCAATGACACTTTAATGATCCTTTCAGCTTGTTCCGCTCTATAAAAAAATATAAATTTCAATAAGGCAGAGAATCATTAATTATCATAGTTGAGAAATAAAACTACTCAGACGTATGTTTACAGGCTCACGTTCCACGTAAACCAGTCTAATGGAAAAATATGATGCAGGTTTACTCATCCGTAGCACACTGCCAGTTTGTGGTGAAACATCAAAAGTCGGAGAGAAACTTAAAGTAAGGGCTCTTCCTCGGTAAATTCAAAGTAAAAATAAAGGGAAGAAAGGGGAAGAGTTCAGTGAAAGTAAGTTAAAGAAAAAAAACACCTTAGCTGTAACTGAGCTGAGGTCCCCGGGATCCTCACACACAGAGAAAGGCTCTACGAGGGAAAGCTCCATGGATAACGGCAGAGATGACAGATTCCTTAAGACCAGCTTCTCATTCTGGGGCTGCATGCTCTGCCCTTTGACCTGTGAATCATCATTAACAATGACACATGGAAAAAAAGGCAGGAATCTTGTGTGATTTCTGATAATTCTCCCATCTTTACAAACCAAAGCCAACTTCTGAACTCTATAGAAATGATGATGTCAGGATTTAAAATCAGATCATGAAAAGATGATAGGCTAATGATGCATAGTCCTAGGTTTTAATGCCAACGACTGCCCCAAAATGAGATGTTTTATAACTTCACCCGTCAGTGTGGTTAGCTGTAAATATTCAGCAGAAATGCAGAAAAACTGAATGAAAAACAGCAATGAAGTGATGATCGTAAATTTGTTTGGAAAATGGTACAATAAGACATGAATACTTAACTAACTCTCTTTAACATCTTTTTACAAAAAAAATGTATTTCAAAATCAGATTGAAGTTCAATGTTTCAGATTCCAACTCCTAAGATTTGAGGTATAAAGTTTCGGGTCAACACTTCAGCCTCATTTATAGCTCAATGGGTGAAATACCTGTCTGAACATTGAATTTGTATTTTTCTCCTTATATTAAGATACAGATGTTAAATTTACATTCAGTAAAAGTCTTACTAATAACTGCACATTTACTTTTACATTGCTACATTACTACATTACTTTTACTTTTTTACTTTTCAATCTTAACTCTTAGTAATGACCTTGAATAGCTCAGAGAGAAAACATAAACACATTTTACAATGTATATGAAGTGTCTTAGATGGTTAGAAACTCCCTCCCATTCTTAATTTGATGATTTGTCCCAATAGCTTGTGGATGGAGTAAAGAAAAGAAACAATGACAGTTTTTTTTCTATGTTTACTAATAATGTTAAAGGCCAACCTTCTTAATGGCGAAGTTCAACTTCTTTGAGGAAATGCTGAGCATTGGGGCCACGAATCGACACGTCACATCCACAGACATGATGGTCTCTTGGCAGCCCTTCTGGCCAATTATCCCGTGGCACACCAGCTGCTGGCGCACAGTCTGGGAACACAGGGGATACACTCCTTACATGTAATCTCAAACAAACACCAGTCTATTCTGAGCCAATAAGTCAGAGAAGTCACCTTAGGGGAGTCTGCAGATACTGTCAGCACCATGTCAACAGAGGAGCCTGGAAAAAGCTCCACGCGAGACGGGCTGAGGTTGAACACCTGCTTGTCTCTGCTGGAGGGGAGCGAGGATCCCTGGCTCGGCATATCTTTCTTCCGGGGAGTGGTGATGGGGGGTAGGAATGTTTTATTAGGAAAGCTGCCTTCTTTACATTTTTTCGTGGAGGACAGGGAGCCGTTTATCTTCCAGAACATCCGGTGCACCCGTTGGCCTTGGTTGGTGAGCTTGAAGCGGTACTGGCATAAGCCATGGCTTAAAGGGCACAAAACTAATAATCAGTGCCCCCTTTTCAACCGTAAACCACAATATCACTCAGACAAATTCAGCAAATGAATTGATTTCTACCTGAAGTGAGTGCCTAGGTCAAGGCTGGGCCCAAAAGGCCTGTCGCTGACAATGGTTGTGCCGGTGCCTGTGGCTGACAGGGACACAGAGTGTGTTTGACTGTCCAGTATGGACACCTCCAGCCTGTCCTGGACGGGGAGCGTGTCCTTCAGGTGAGCCACCACTGTGAGCTCCAGCTGGCTCCCTGGTGGCACCTCTCCGTCATTGGGCTCGACTCGCCAAAAGGAACGTCTCTGACTCTAAAGGGAAAGCAGAAACCCAATCTGAGCCCGATGAGCTGAAGTGCTCCAGTGCGATGCCGGCCTCTGGAACACGGGCGATCCAGTAGCTGCTTTCATGCCTGAAATGTGATGCATTGAAACCTCTCCCTTGTGGGGGTGCTTTCCTATAAGTGCCGCACAAATCTTGAGACTAAAGCAAGCAGCAGACCTTCTAAGATGAATGTGTATATCAAATAACTGCATAATCACATCAGTGTCTCTGAGCGGCACGAGATCCTGGAGGTGCGCGAGACAAAAGTGGGATGAATAAATCATCCGCATGCGAGCTCGATCGTGTGTGGAGTGAAAACACGCCACGCCTGCTGCCAGGCAATCGCTGCGGGCTGCATTTTTCTAAACAAATTCAAAGGCAGTGAGAAGACACGCGTGAATTTGGATGTTTATCTTCAGTTCAGGCTTTATTGTGCTCACTGTAGTGTGTTTGTTTCTGACCAGGCACTGGTGGAGATCACAATCAATGTTCTATACAGCATCTCTGCTGATAGATGGCTGGAACATAAACTTTTAATTGAGATTCTGAAAATGAGCTTTCCACAGATGTGTTGAAGCTTGGGTGCTTTCGCTGCCAGCAGGACGACGCAGCAGACAGATGATCAATGAGGAAACAGTCAAAGCCTGCAGCTGAGATCTGTGTTTCAACGCTAATGTCCAGATTTTATTTTAGATCTGTGCTTAGATCTCTGGACGCTAATTGTTAAGAGATTTTGGGAGTGACTGATTGCTTTCTCTGTGTTTGTTTCACTGATTGAAGGAGTTTCTGAAAAGTGGGCCGGGAATGGGTCGATGCATGGGCGATGGCAGTGGAGGTGGGTGGGGTCGGAGTCACTGAAAGAGCACGGGGTTGACTCCCTGGAGTGGGGAAGAAGACGAGTGGAATCTCAATAATCACATCAAACCTACTGCGAGCCACAGCTTGATTAGCATTGATTGAATGCAGCAAAACTGAGAAAGCTTTACAATTCAAATTCATGCCGCGTGCTCAACAGCAATCATGGCTAATATAATGTAGACAGCCAAAATAATAAATAATGACCTGGTTGATACTTCAGGCTCCCAAGCAGAAAATAAATCAAGTTATGTGGTTAAACAACACATCTTTTTCTTCTTTCTTCTTACATATCCTCTTTGCCTCTCTGTTTCTAATGCTCTGATGTTTAGGAATCGTGGAGCTTTGTTCTGCTCCCTGTCCTCTGTGGATATTTTTGACTCTTCTAATAATTAATACCAGCCTCGGCTGGATTAGGGATGGAGTCATTCTCACAGATGGGCTCTTAAACAAACCAGTTTGGATGCCTTTTGCAATATCCCCACAATCTTCTGTCAGCAGGTCTATTATTGTGGCTCGTTGCCAGTTTATTGAGCGACATGTAATGGAATTCCTGGAGAATCTGCATCGATTTAGCTCTGAGAATGCAGAGAAGAAACTCCTTCGCTCAACACTGCCTTAGAGGAGAGAGCAGGGTCACACGACTGCATTTACACCAGGATGCCGGTGTGTGTTTCAGCTCCCGTGTACGTGCAGTTGTGTCTATGCTTTCTCCAGAGGTACTGAGGAATGGGTTCAGTCACAAGTTTGTTCCCAGTGGATATCAGCCAATGCTGATAAGGTGAGAGAGGAGCTTTTAGAGGCAAGTGAACCACTGAACGTGAGGATCTGCAGCTCTCAGGTTACAGCAGAGCTCAGTATTTTTCACAGTGAGCAAGCATGTTAAAAACAAACAAGTGTAGATTAACTACCCTGTTTTCGATTTGGATATTTAATATTTACCCATACTAAAGGTTATCAAGGTTAAAATGTCTTAAAATGCCTCTAACAGCTGTAATCAGTTGATGAGCAAAAAATTATGTTAAAAAAATTATGTTAAAAACAAGTCATGAAAGTGTAGATGCTGATTGTGCTTATTGTTTAAAATGTTGACATGAGACCCAGCAAAATGGCCTTAATTCTTCATTAAATCTTTTTTTTTAAGGCTGAATCAGATTACGTCAGTTTTGTCACTCGGAATTGACAAAATGTCCACATCTTAGTGGTTTGTATCTCCAAGACGCTGATCTCCTGGGGTAAGATTTAAATTGAACAGGCAACCAATTACTCTTAAAACGAACAGATCTTTAAACCCTTTAACTCATTTATCACACCCACTCAGACTGGAATTAATAGTAAGAGCATGAACAGCAGTTGTCATGAGACTTTAGAGGCTGAATGACAATATAGAAGTAAAAAAAGAAGCTCCAAATACCTGATCTTAGCACATGTTAATATAATATTTCCTCCGATGTATCTGTGGTGAGAATGGTTTACTTTTAAGGGTGAATGTGCTTGCTAGCCTTCTGCCTGGGTGAGTGTTTGTGTTTGTACCGTGCGGGCATTAAAAGGGGCTGGAATGGGTGATTGGTTAGACAGATGCAGGGTTCTAGTGATGTCCGTCAGAACTGGAACTGTGCCAAACTGCAGCTCTGTCCTTTGAATGTGAACCACAGGTCCCTGACCAATACACGACAGCATCACCTCCTGCAGCAAAACAGGAGGGAACAGAGTTAGTTTAAAGAATTTCATGTCTACTTTAGGAAGGCAGACTCGCGTCCAACTGGGGTTCTCTGACCAGGGGTTGCTGGAGGCTGCCGAACACAGCGATGCGTAGGGTGTGATGCAGCCTCCCGACAGCCTTAGCCACCAGGAGCACAGGAAGCTCCACTGAACTTCCAGGGAGAAGGACTCCTCGAGGCACAGAGCTCCCAAAAAGCACTGATGAGCTCTCCTGATTTTCCTGAGAAAAGTGGTACAAACAGGAATATTTTCAGGCAGACGGACAGATCCAGAATCCCCAGCATTTCTCCTGAAATATTGATGCATTTGGGTCTAAATCTGTGATTTAACCCTATAATTTGCTCTTATTGCATGGTAATAAATCATAAATACTTCACACATAAACACTTCACACAAAAAATAAAATATTCTCTCAATTTTTCTTGGATCAAGCTTTAATTGGTGAAACTTATTTTTCAAAAAATAAAATGAGTAGTTTTATAGTGTAAAGCAAAATGTTTAACCCTTAAGAAAAATACATAGGAAAATCTATTCATACACATTTTAGTACATTACCTATTAAAATTTTAATGCTGGCAAATTAGAGGGGACAATCAGAGCTGTTCATTTCTGTTTAAATTAAATGTGGACCTGGAACCAGGTTGTGATTGGTCTGTTTTTTAAGGCTTAGTGAATCTCTGCTCTTGTTTTTCTTTTGGGCTTTCCATCCAGCTACATTTTGTCACTGCTGTTTACTGCTCAGGTCTGCTGCTTGTTTTCAAACACACAAGCCTGATCCTCGCTCCATAAGACTCTGTTGTTCGTCCTCCAGGCTGTCTTTCCCACAAACCGCCTTTTCCACACATCTCCATCTTCCTGTTACCTGAGAAGACTCATCAGAAGTCTGCACAGTCTCCTAACTCTGCTTACTGACCCCCGGCCTCTAAACCCAGGGGTTTCTTTCCTGTCACCACTCTGTTTATGCCATCACTCATCTTGATTACATAAAAAAACTTTAAAAATAGCAGAATCAGGGTGCACAATTGTCATGTTGAGTTTTAGGTTCAGTTTAAAAAAAAATCCTTTTAATCATAAGAAAACTGTTACAACTTTAAACAACTGAAAGTGTTAGTAAGCAGTAACTTTTTTTGTTTGTTTTTAGAGCAGATCTCCTCCTTTAGTCCTTTAGATTAAAAAGTCCAGTCAAGCTAATTCCTCTAAATCAGCCAAACCAAGTAAATACTAATTATTTTCTAGAGTCACTCTGCTCAGCCTGGATTCCAGCCACATATAACACAAATCCATACAGTTAGCGACAAGCTGTGTCCTGGACAAATTCAGATTCCATAGCAGTGACTGTTCACATTCTCTGAAGCTTGTTGCTCTAAACAAGAACCCACATCCTTTTTTGTATCAAAGTAATCCCCCTCACATTTTTTCCCCTTTGGCTCACTTATCCGGCCAAAGTAAGTTTGGTATAAATTGCAATACTGCTGACCTGATCGAGTAGCCCATAACAGGCCGGCAGGGTGCTGGGGTTGCTCAAACACACTTTCTGTTCATAGGGGTGACGGAGGAAACATCTTTGGAAGTCCAGGACCAGAGGCTCCACCGTAACCTCTGGCACAACACACCTATCCCCAGAGAAAGAGAAGGCAGAGAGCGAGGTGGGGGAAAGATGAAGGCTTTATTTATGATTTCAGTAGTAATTGCATTGCACTGTGCCAAAACTGAGCACAATTAATTCGAACCGATTCATAAATCCACAATGATGGTGATTGCAGCGAGGAAGTCTGATTACTATTAACTGCCCTATTCTGCGAGACGGTCCAGGTGACATTCAATTGTATTATCATGTAAATGAGCCTGTGAATATTTAACGCATCCCAAATCTGCTGAACTGTCAACACTTGTGTGCGAGTTCAACGTACCACTTTCACAGTTTGTCAAAGGGTGGAAAGCCTCGCCAAGAGCCCAGCAGAAGTTAACGACAGAAAAGGCACTTCTCTTTAGGAAGGAGTTGGACTTTTTTTTCTCATTGCCCTTTCTGGGCAAAGCCAAGTGCTGCATAATCATGGGAAGTGTTCCATTACACTCTGCTCGGATGTGCTGATTTAGCTTTCGTTTAATGGTAATGTGGTATTGCTCTGTGTTGTGGGTAAACATTTTTCTAACCCATTACTACATTTTATTTCCTTACATATTTATACAAACAGCTCAAATTTCTGTGCCTTTTTTCTCCACCTGTCTGTGGATGCTGCTCTACTGCATTAAAACTAAATCACAGCATATGATGTGGGAGCTGATTATCAGCTAAAACCAGCAAACACCCTTTACGGAGCAGGCCTCCAGGCGCTCATGTAACAACAGCCTTTTATCGATCCTGAAGTGTTTCACCTCACAGACACGTCACAGGCTCCCTGGCCTTTAAAGTCATGGTCGATGGGTTCCTGTAATGTCTTTGATTGTGTTACTCTGGATTTGAGACTTCTGCTCGCACTGTTCTGCTACCTGCCTTCGATACCACTAAAACTCCCTGGTGCCTGTCTGAGTCTTTATCATAGTTCTACTATTTCAGCCAGTTGCTTTTTTTAACTTCTGATTTTTTCATTGTATTTCCTGTCTGCTAGAGCTTATCTAATAAACTCTCTGTTTCCTTCACCTGTTGGTCCAGCATTTGGGTTCTTCCTCACCCTGTAAGCCTGAATTATGCACGAGACATCAACCCTTTCCAGACTACTGCTATTTAATTCTGCCAAAACATTAGTAGTATAGAGCGGGATTGAGATAAATTGGCATTCATTTTTCATTCTAAACTTATTTATGTACAGAAGTGCTCATTTTGAATGCTATAGTGTGTTTTCCCACCTGGCACTGATAGGCAGACTCATGATTTCTTCTCCCACACCTTCAACATCCACCACCAGCACTGCCCTGTACCTCCAGACCGTGTTGGAGCACAGCGTCACCTGTTCACGCATAACACAAACACAGTACACAACTAACACAAACAATACTCCTAAAATCAGAAAAACTGATCCCACAAAAAGGTTTATATGTAGTTTGTAGTTTCCCATTATTCCACATTGTGGCTGCTTTTAGCAAAGCAAGCCTTCTGTGGTAATTTGGTCAGTGATGCTACCTTAATTATGACTTCCGACATGGCACGCACGGAGCCGGTCGCAGGGCTGACTGTGAACTCCACAGGCCGTGCATGACGGTCTCGATGGGCCTGGCCTTGCCAATTCTTCCTTGACAAATCAGACACCTGGTCTGCACTGGTAACACTCGCAGAACCGAACCCATCCCCCCGGACACGAAGGGCAAAAGTCATGGGCACAAAGGACGTGTTGAGGAGGGTAAAAGTCGATGTAACAGGAAAACCTGCCCAGAAGGACCGAGACAGGGGGAAAAGATGAGGAAAAATCACTACTGAGATGGACAAATAATTGCAGAGGCGGAAACTTACCAAAGGCTACATCTCCGAAATTCAGCTCATGAATATCAAAGTGGAACGTGGGAGCTATGACGCAACCCCTGAAACACGACACAAGAACATGAGAAAAATAAATGTTGCTAAAAACTGGTGCTCGGCAGCAAACATAGTTTTAAGATTTGTAAAGCTGCCAAAACTATAATACAGAAGCTCTGTTTACTCAGATACGTCCAAATCGGACTTCACCTGAAGGTCAAAGTCAGGGGTTGAGGCTGTCCTGTGACAGTTAGAAGCAAGTCCTCAGAGAAAGTTCCCAAGATGCGACTTTGGAAGGTGACTTCCACAATCTGGCAGGCCCCGGGGGGAACGACACCTTCCCCAGGACGGAAGGAGAAATAGCGGCCAAATGTGGTGTTGGGCCTTGAAAACCTGAAGGGGGCATCAATCAGGCCAGTGTTCGACAGCTGCACCTGAGCAAAGGAAAGCAACCCAGGACTCATTTGATTTGTCGTCAAACACACACTGCACTTAAGTACTGGGTCAAATTTTAAATTGATGGAAGAAAATCTAAAAAAAAGTTCTCTCCCATATTGATTTCTCAAAGAGCAGCATTGACCAAACAGCATCTGCCAAGGTTGGGCAGGTTGCGCAAGTACATTTGTGACTTTTACAGAAACAATTATTTTTCAGTCATTACCAATAAAAAGAAAATAACATTAAACCGATGTGGGAAAGTTTGCTTCTCACCTCATAACAGTCTTTGTAACCCATAAATACATTTTTCATCTCCATTAGGTTAAAGTCGAGCTGGAGCTCTGGTCCCAGGCCTTCACCTTTAATTGTGAGGGGTAATGGTTTCTCACGTCCTGCGTCCAGAAACAAATACAGAAGTGTGAGACAGGAAAAGCATAATTTTGCTGTAAAGCTCCCTGTACATTAGATCAATCACAGTGACAGGTGCGTGAACATTAGGGGTTTCTTCTGTCATCATATTTCATTTAAACTTAGAATACACTGTATTGATCTCAATTAAACCTTTCTTCACAAAACAGCACAATTTCTTTCTTTAGCTCCACCCGAACTTATCTGCATGTCAGCGTTTATTTGGCCAACACTGGTCTTAACTTTTAAAGCCTTTATAAGGTCATATGCTGCATCTCTCTTGAGAGACTTAATGTACATGTTAGCATGGACAAAAAGCAATGAAAAACTTCTTCTGTTCGACAAATTTTTATATGTTGCAAAAGCCACAAGATGTAACAACATTTTCATTAGCTTCTCTGGCTTTTTTCACAAAGTTAGGAGTCAATGCAGAGAGCTGCATATAAGTTGGTCGGGTCATCAACTGCCCAAAAAGATATGGAAATAAATGTAAATCTGGCCTCCAGCTCAAAAGACACACACAAGCACCACATGCAAATTTGTCAACAGCTTTTCAGGACAACTGGGGTGAAAAAAACACATTAGAGCACCATGAGTGCATGCTCAATTCTGGGGAGTTTTTATACTTTCCTCATAATAATGAATAAGCACGGTAGGCCCTGTGAAATGGCCTAAGAAGACCCATATAGCAGCTGGTGCTTCATAAATAACTTTTAACTGATCTGGATGAGCAGGAGGAATCAATCGTCTAGTCATTAAAGCATTTGGATAGATTCAGTTGGTCCATTTAGGATGTCAATTCCAGCTCGATTTAGGAGGTAATATATATAAGTGGAACAGTTGAAAGGAGCCCAATTTTCTGAAAACCAAACCCAGTGTTTTTAAACCAGACGCACAGGAGGAAATATAATAAAGCCACTGATTTACAGTAGATGGGGGGTGTCTTTGAGGGTGTGACAACAGCTAAAAAAGCTACACTTTCAAACAGCTGAAACCACAAACTAACAGACACTGATATCTAATATTTAGCTGCGGTTTGAATCCTTTTTTGGGGGTGTTGCATGTTCTGTCTGGGTGCTTCTGCTTCCTCCCACCATCCAACAGTACCTGTGAGGTTACTGGCTGCTCTACATTGCCCCCGGATGTGAATGTGCATGTTGTTCGTCTCTTTGTGACCCTGTGATCGACTGGTCTGACTCAACAGACTCTGATTCAGCGAAAAAATATCTTATTGGAGCATTGCTGAAATGGAATAATTCCCCATTTTGTTTTCTAATATGATTGTTGACATTGTAATCAATGAACTGCCATATGGGTTAAAACTCTACTTGTTTCTACATATTAAGCATAATTAGTTTAGTGGGAATTATTATACTAATTGATTCTATCTAAATTTTGCTTAATGCAAACACGAATAAAAGCCTTCCGAAAACCTCTGATTTGCTGACATAGCAAAAAACAAAAACAAATTTACAAATATTTTCATGGATCCAAGTCACATTCAAATCACTCCAGCCGGCAGAGAGACTCTGCAGCGTCCGTCCTTAGATTGCTGCTTTGCTCTGCTGCGCTGGTTAGAATTTCTAAAATAAGATCAAATTCCAGTTCTCATTCACACACAGGGACCCGTCTCTCATTCTGGAGAAAATACAAACAAAAACAGATTTTTGCACTTGGAGTTCGGCCCTGACTTATGCATAACACACTTCTGTTTATTTCTCTGTTTGGTCATTTTCTCGATTTAACATTCTCCAGAAGAGGGAAATCACAGATACCTCAGTCAATAAAATGACTAGAAATGAAAAGTGAGTTCAAAGTGGCATGGCGGGTTTTCTTATTTGCAAACAGCTGAGCCAGATGACACCAACATATTGGATTTTATTGTATTTAAAATGTAAGGTGCCATACCAACGATGGCCATTCTCTAGTAACTGACGACCCTTAATCAACTCATCCGACTTATTTTCACTGCTGGAAGGAGAATGAAACATTTAGAAACTTAATTCAGGTTTGAAGGAGTAAGAACATTATTTAGATCTAAAACTGCAGAAATGTGGTTCCAGTCAAGAGCAAAAGCATCCAGTCACAAATGCAAAAATAATTTCTTAAATCTTCTCATGCGAAAATAATCATTAGTTAATCTTATAAAAATGTTTTGATGGAGCCAATTTAATTCTAATAAACACCTATTACCTGTTTGATAGTGAGAGCCCATGTAAAACTCTGCATCACTTTTCCTGTAATATATTTCTATACATATATACAGTATATACCCGTAGATTATGTGTTTAAAACTGGGAAACTGACCTGTGATGTCACAGTACATGATTTGATGGTAATGTTTGTTCTCTGCTGGCTTGAAGATTATGGTGAATTGTGCTCTGGCGTTTGGCCAAATCTCCCCCTCCTAAGTCACAGAGAGACAAGAGTTATTATCATTTGGATGAAAAATATTAAATAAGAGTAATGAGGGATTTTATTAGTCAGATTGGACGCAGGTTCAAAACGACATAACATGGGCAAAGTGCTGCCTGTTTTCTTTAAATGCCCTCTCATGTGCTTGTGACTGGCTGAAAGTCTGTTTACTCCACTCTGTCTTTCATCTGACTCCTCCCTCCCTCTGTCCAGGTAACCCGGCTGTGCTAAGCAGAGGAGGCGCTGGCAGAGAAGGGGGCAGTGGTGTCAGAACAGGTCAGACTACCTGATCGTCCCCTCGCAGAGAGGGCACAGTCTGTTGCCTCCTGTCACCAACCAGCCACCCGAGGTTTACATGCAAACGGGAGAGCCAAATCTTAACCTCTTTGTGTCAGAGCTGATCTCAGTTCCAATAGAATTCCTGTGCTCACAACCCCTATGCCACATGAATAAACATGGCTCATATAAAGAGATCTTCTGACTTAATATCTGCCTTGTTAGGTACTTTGGGAAGCTGCTAGGCCGTTGCCAGCTCTGAGGATGCTTCTGACACTTGCATGAGTAAAGGTTTTGCATTAACAGAACTTTTAGCAAAAAGGATTAGAAAACCTGGGGTAAAGAAAAGAAAGTGACATGGAAAGACTGAAACACACACACACCGCTGGCTCCACAGTTAAGCAGCCGAGCGAAAAAGCCATAGGGGGGTCTCCTGCAGCCTGACTTCTGTCCCCCTGCTGGGGCGGGAGGTGATGCATCGCTGTGTGGTCGGACCGACACTGAGAGAGGCCCCGCCCCTCATCCTCCTCGCAGCTCTGACGGATTGCTGAGCTCTCCCTTTGAGAAATGAGAGTAGGGAGAGCAGGTAACAAGTAAAACAAAGTTGGAATGAGGAGCTTCGAGGAAGAAATGAATGGGGAGGAGAACAAAGAGCTGCTGACAGAAAGGAGGAAATGGACAAGTGAGCTATTTCTAGACACAAATGCTTTGATATCAAATCAAATAAACCGAGGATTCCTTTCAATTAGGTGTACAAAGACACACAGGCAGGAGGGGGGTTTTGTCCATTCTAAAGCTCTCCAGTCAAACATTGGTGTGTGTGAATGTGTACCCTGATGAGCTCAGGTCCTCCTCTTGCAGGCAGGGACACATTCTCCAACAGTACTGGAGAGGAATATCACTCTCATTGGTGAGCGACACCGTCCGAGCATTGGCCAAGCCGATGTAAGTGTTCCTCAGTGTTAAAGAGTCCGGCTTCAGCTGGATGTTCAGTTCTTCACAAGACCCAGACAAGCTGATGTACACATCCTCATCTGGGTGGAAGACATGAAGCAAGGAAATTCACAAACACGTACATTTACAGCTGACAACAGCTTTTGAAACTATTTATGGATCATATAAATATATACTTATTCAGGAATGAATTTGAAAGGTAGTGTAGTCTACTGTTTATTATTTGAGCTCAGACATAAAATTATACAAAAAGCCGCACAACTGAAGCTTTTTATCAGATGTGAGCCAAATATAGAGCAAATCTTAACAGAGTTATGGGCACCCAGCAGAGTAAAACTTTCAAAGACTGGATCTGGATCAAAGGAAGCTCTATAGAACTCATTTTCAGAATTTCCTGGAATGCAACCAACAAGGCCAATTTATTTTTCTATTGCTGCAAAAGCCTTTTCTAAGTGGAAATAAATATATTAGGTATAAACAAGAAGTGGAAATGGCTGTCCGGCAGGAGACAGTACAGCTTGGTGCATTGGCTCTTTTTGGAGCGTTGATAAAACAAACCAGAGGACACGTGCTCCTCTGTGATTAATCGAGGCATCAAGCCAGTAAGACCAACAAATAACCACAAACAAAAAGAAGATGCAAAACTATGTTTTGTACAATGCAACCACAAATAAGGTCTCATGCAAATCCGACAAGTTTGTTTACATTCAAATCAGAGGAGCTGCAGCTCCAGCCGGCAGAAACAGCGTCCGTCCTTAGATTTCTGCTTTGCACAGCTGCGCTGGTTAGAATTTCCAAAATAAGATCAAATTCCAGTTCTCATTCACACACAGGGACCCGTCTCTCATTGTGGAGAAAATACAAACAAAAACTGATTTTTGCACTCGGAGTTCGGCCCTGACTTCTGCATAACACACCTCTGTTTATCTCTCTGTTTGGTCATTTTCTCGATTCTCCAGAAGAGGGAAAACACAGATACCTCAGTCAATAAAATGACTAGAAATGAAAAGTGAGATCAAAGTGGCATGGAGGGTTTTCTTATTTGCAAACAGCTGACATATTGGATTTTATTGAAACTTCACATTTCCAGTGGCGAAAAAACAATAGAGTTTACTTTTTATTTGTAAAAGCATTTTCTGCATTGCCACATATTCAAGCAAACACCACACGTCCTTATAGTAACTGACTAAGATTTATTCAACTGATGACCATTTGGATGGTAAAAAGCTGCTGGGAGAGGGAGAACTTACTTTGGCTTGATATTTAAAACCAATATGGACCTTTAGATGCAACAACCTTACAATCATGCACAATAGCTGGATTATTATGCATTGCACACGTTTTGTTTAAATAGTTTAAATGGAAAATCGGAAATATACAGTGGTTTATTGTATAGTTGACTGTTGGAGGGGATTTATCCATAACAACTGCATGCAACACCTTCGACAGGCATAAAAGGCACAAAATAAAAAAACATGTTTATGGACAAATGATTTATAACGTGTGACTTTTGACTTACAAGTGGTCTTTGTGTTGGTTTTTGTAGTTTTATTTGTTTGCACAAAAGCCTGAGATAAAATCTTTTTTATGACCTTCAAGATCAGTAAATGGGGAACTATGAATTAAAGACTGCGTGTAACGATGTTCTTTTTCTGCTTATAGTTTAAGATGGGGCCGCTTGTACCTAACCCTAACATCAACTTTCTACCACAGCTCATCACTTTATCTAAATTTCAAGCAGCTGCTGCTTCCTTTGCAAAAAGTGCTCACGGTTTGCCTCACAACAGCTGAACTGTATCAAATGAATAAAAAATCCAAATGAGCTGGTAGCTTTATCGCAGCCAGCTGAAAAAACTGGCAGGAAAGGTTCAACATGACCCCATCTGCTCACTGCAGTTCCAGCAACAGACTCCATATCATTATGACACTAAGGTGAACTCAATCAATAGAAAGTTTCAGAAGCTTCGTTAAGCTGCTTTGCTTTGAGTAAGTAACACATTCAAGCTGAAGTTAAAGGCAACAAAAGGTGACTCAGCAACAAGCTGAGTCAGTTTTAAAACCAACTAACGGAAGGAAGATTAGATTTAGGATCTCATTTCTGCATCAGTTGGCTACCAGGGGTAAATCCCATTGATCAGGAAACCAAATCCTTCATGTTTATCTTTCTCATTTATAGGCAAAATAGCTGCCTTTCAAACTTTAGGCCTTCCATTTCATTTCAGCTCCAGCTGAAAGACTAAACAGGAGATCTTTTAATCCATCTTCCCAGAGGCTGAAACAAGTCATCAGCTGGGAGCTGAAATACCTTGTTTCTGAGTAACACAAGTCTCTCTGTAACAAAGACCTTCTCAGCATAATTTATTTACTTTTTAAATGTGTTGACAACGAACTGAACACAGTTCTGATAGGAGAAATAAACAAACATGACGTTGACAAATGCAGACTAGTTAAATCTATGCAGTGATGGCGTATAAGCTACAGCTAAAGCACATATTAGAATTCCAGGAGTGCTTGAGCGTGCTTCCACTAGGCCAACAGAGATTTCCATCATATACCTTGAGGGAGGGAAATGGAATATAAAAAAGGCTGGAACAGTGCCACAGGACGGCCGGTGTATTTCCTCTCTACTGCAAGACAATCTGTTTTAAACTGTGAGATACCATCACAAGGAGAGGAATCAGGAGAACATATAAGAAAGAGGATGAGTGACAGAAGGAAATGAGGGGGAGAGAAAGAGGAATTGTTGGAACCAGAGAATAAAGCAATTATCTGGCAGAATTCAGATGCTATGACAGCGGCTGACAGGCAGGGAGAGCTGCAGCTTATTGCTCAGCTTTCATCAAGGCTTTCCAACATCCCAGCCTCCCCCCACTTGCTTTTTTCCTCCCATAATTTCACCATGAATGCAGCAACAGAGCTTCTCGGCTCCCTCAGCTACCTTTGATTACCACACAGACAGCAGATCTGCAGTGTGAGAGAGTATGTGGATGTGTGTTGTGTTTGTTCATGTGCAGCTGCTGACTGTTTGTGTGTGTGTGTGCGTGCTGCTTTTTAAAAAAAAAGAAAAAGGGATGATGTGCTCAAGTCCCTTCGGAGCTGTAGTCCTGTCAAAGTAGATGCCGAAGCGCTCCCTCAGAGCTGTCCATCTTTAGCTTTAAATCAGCAGCAGTGACGGCGGAGGAGGGTGTGCTGGGGGGTGACAGTATACTGGTAAAGTCTCATACTTTCAGGATACAACGAGGATTTTCTAACAAACCATAATAGAAAATAAGTGAGCTGTGCAAGCGGTTATTCCTCAAAGCTGCCCGTTCTCTAAACCAACAGCAGGAAAAAAGACACGGGGTGTTCCTGCGTTAGCGGCCGGGTTGTAATACGCATGGAAATGAACACATTAGTGTACACAAGATTATGTCATCCAGCTTATGCTGAAGTCTTCAAGCCCCTCTCTGGAGGCCCTTTGCTGCATGATGACCTGAAACATACATGAGTGGGGGAGACAGGGAGAGTGCTAAATTAAAAATGATATTCTCTTGATGGGCTTTGAGTGGTGCTCTAGACCAGGGGTGGTTTTCCTATTATTAAAGCTTAATGCCCTCCAATGCCACAACTGATGCCACTCCTTCAGCAGACATGCTTATTAAGGTAACAAAACAGCAACCTTATTAAAAGTAAGATCTCTTTCAGTCCTTAGCAGCATGCATTTAGGTGTGTGAGGCTTGGTTAAACGTGGCCACTGTGTTTTGGTCCACCTAGGAGTTCTAAGAACGTTTCAATAATTGAGTCGACTTACAGTGGTTTTAACGGAAACCCGGTACACTGAATGGAGGAGCAGAGTGGAGGTGAGCACTGACCGTCCCCAAAAACCAGCTGCTATGAGCAACGCTTCAAAGAAAGTTCAAATGAGAAGCTGCACGTCTGTTTGTAGCAGAGAGTCTCACAGACATTTCCTTAGTACCACAGGGAAACATGTCTCCTTTAGACACACATCCGCAGCCCCAACAAATGGTTTTACTGGAGAAACAAGGAGGAAAACAAACATCCCACACAGACGCTGAGCTTTGCATTTTCTGATAAAAAATACACCCAAATCTGTGTCTGACTTATTTCTGCTGGCAGCACAACAATCAAACAATGAAGCCGGGAAGAAATTTTAAATCAAAATAGTTCAGCTATTATTCGTCATTATGCTACCCCATTTTTTTCACAAGGTGACTTTCCAGTAAGGGAATGACTGATGACTCACATCCACGCACAAAAACCTTTTTCATTTGTGCGGTCTTTGGACTGCCGTGTCGGGCCCCTCCCTGCCGGTAAACACTGCAGCTGAACACCAGACTGGGAACGCAAGCTTCACTCTCACCCTTCAGCACATCTTATAATGCAGAAACCCACAAACGCATACATGAGAGTGGTAAATAAAGAGATCTATGGCCAGGTGATGAATAGCTATTAAAAGTGACCTCTAGTCTGGTTTCACGAGGCATCTGAAATTTTACTAAGCTGCAGGGTTGAAATCAGCATTAAACGACTCAGCTGTGACCAGATTGGATCAGAAATAAGGCTGTTGTGCTTCAGATTTATCTCAGAGCCTCATCAGCTAAGTCGTGTTTGCTTCCTCTATTTTTAGCCACCAGTGTTTTAGCTTACAGACAAAATGCTGTTTTTGCCAAGTTAATGATGCTCTGAAGAAAATGCACAGAAATTTGGTTTTAAAACCTCATGAAGCCATCTCAGATATCAAAACATAGTAGTTTAACTTTATTGTTTAGTTTTTTCTTCAGTTCTTTTGCTTGAGCTGCAAACATTTATTGAAAATTGAAACTGTCAGTAACACAAAAACTTAAAAAAACAAAAAGCATCCCCGTAATCTGCCAGGAGCCTAAATTAGAGCATAACAAGGACTAAATTAAAGCAAGAGTATTAGGGTCACCATTAATTCTGAGTTTCTTATCACGTTATCCACTGATATCCAAGCAGTGAAGCAGTACATGATGAATCTGATTAATAAAACCAGACCTTTTATCACTAAATCATGTTCATGACCTCTCACATACAGAAAACTTGTCTATGTTTAAGGAAGAATGTGTTTCCAATTAAATCGTCTTCAGTCATAATGTTGGCTTTTCATTTACCGGTACATCTGATTTGGTCGAGAAAATGTAAAATTTTCTGCTCTCACCTTTTTATTGTTGAATTTCAATTTAACGGAGGATCGAATCGTTTTCGTCTGAAGCCAAATCTAAAGCATCAAGTCCTTTTCAAATGAAAAAAAAAACACACATCAAACAAGCATTTTTGTGGATCAAAGAAAAGTGTTTTACTGCCTCCTTTCACCTTCTTCATATCTTTGAAATCCAGATAGAGATGACGGGGGAAACCCAGCTTTAGGAGCTTTTCTCCACAAAAACATGATAATCCTCAAAACATAATCTGCTATTCTCACTTTGACCTAAAGCAAGACTTGGATCTATCAAACCACTTTTGTTCTAATGATTGTGCCTTAAGAGGTCCAGTGCGTATCGGTTACTGACATCTAACCACAAAGCTGCATCTCAAAGCCTCCAACTGAATACGCTGCAACAAACATGTAAGTCTAGGTGAGAAAAAAGTCATTCACAACCTTGCTACCCATCTTGAAAAAGTCACACCAATATTTATTCTGCCTTCGTCTGTCCTGAGATTTCTTTGTCTCAACATGTTTTTGCTCTTAAGATGAGGCTGACTGTCAGGCTTGCTTTCTGCTCTTGGGTTAAGATGCATTAGGTGTGATAATCCATTTCTCAAATGTGTTCCCTGAAACTTTCCACAAAGCAGCTCTCATAGACCAAGTCCTCTACTCTCTGTGTGTTCATCAGGCTTAGCATAATGTCTGCTGCATGCTTTTGGTGGCAGTAATGTGGCTGTTTTACTATGGGGATGGTGTTACCATGGTGTGCTACCATGGTAACACCACCCTCACAGGTATGGACACAACCAGGCATGGAAACACCTTGCAGTCAAACAGGACTTCGGAGTGTTGAATAGAAAAAATTAAAAAACACTTTGCTTTAAAACTCTATCAAATCCCCACATTTCTGTAACACCACTGTGTGGTGGAGGTCTGTTCAACACTTTTCTGACAGAGCTCTGGTGCCATGTGTCCAGCCACTTTAGTTTTTTCGACTGGTGCCTGAGGTGGAAGATGTGACTGGCTATAAAGGGAGCGGCTCCACCACCGGCTGAATGCTCGACTGGTTTGTGCTGTTTCCTTTTTCCTCTCTTCCACATATGTCCACGGCTCACCACATCTTATCTTTACCACTCTTGATTTGATTAGTCCTTTTTGCATTTTTAAATTTACTACTTAGTTTGGGTCAATGTTTGGTGTATTTGTCTGGGTTTTGCTTCTGGTTTGACCAGTTTCTATGTGGGTAGGCTGGGCTGATGGGGTCCGCCTGGACAAAAGCCTCTGGATAAGTGAACCCAGGGCATTTTATCAGGGCACGTCACAGATGTTTAGTAAGTTCAACTAGAAATCTCTTCCGTCTCCATAAGTCGCCTCCAGTGGTTCTACTCCTCACGGGCCTTCACTGAGGCTGCTGGAATGTGAGTACTCAGATCTGATTTAACATGAGCAAAAACCAGAGATAGGTCAAAGCCACTGACAGTGCCACGCACTGAAAAATATCCACATTTTCTTTAATAAAGTAATGAATCAGTTTAAATGTAGATTTCTCCTTTGTTACAGTATGACGTTAAAGGCTTAAGAGTGTAGGTCATAACTTTATCTGATGTACAACAAACTCAGTGGAGTAAGATCTGCTTATTTAATCGTGCCTCAGTGCTCAGTTTCTTCAACCATCTCATAATCTGCTGACTACACTACCGAAACAACAACTATTGAATCATCAAGACTGTACTTGAATAGTAGATGCTGTGTTTACTAAATTTTTAGTATTGAGACTTGCTTCTAATTCCTGTTTGCTTTGGATTGTTTATGAGGTTTTGCATTCATTGATTTGAACTCTTGTATTCCATTATATTCCAGCACTTTGCAAACACAGAGGCCCAGATGTTGTATTGTAAGCCTGGTGTATATAAAAACCAATTAAATTGAAATGTGAGAGGAAGTCAGAGCTGCACTGTAGGGAAGGGTAGAGGAGAGATAACGCTTCCTCGAGGGATGCTGCACAGAGCAGTAAATACAACTTACCACAGCTACCATGAGCTTAATTCTCTCCATTCTCCTTGCTCAGTTCTCCAGGGAAGTTACAGGTTATCTTCTCATTACCATTACTTATGTCACCTTTGACTTTATGGCCTCATGCACACACCAGAACACATACCATTCTCCCAAGTGCCTTGTTGGTTTATTTTCATTTTTTGCATCCAAACTTGAAGGCTGATGCCGAGCAGCAGAAGTAAACGACCTGGCAGAATCAAATCAGGCTTTTTCAGCCTGTACATAGTGCTTCTCATTTTATCACCATTATTATTAATTCTATTTCCCTGTCTGACCTTTTACTTCTCATTTGACTCAGATTTGTGGGCCATCACTGTTCAGGTTCTCTTTCATTCAGGTTCATTAATGCAGACTGAATCTCATTTTGGATTCCTGTTTTCATTCATCCTTTTAGTTCTATTTCACCAGATGTGCTGATGCAGCCACCCTGTATTACAGTCTATATACACAAACAGGAAACAAGCCTAATATCACTATTCAAACACATTATAACACAGAAAAATAACATCTGAAAACACACCACCACTCACTTAGGACAACATTTAAAACCTTCACATTATGGATGAAAAAAAAAAGCTGTGAGGACAAACATGCTGATGCTGACGAGGACTGTGACCATCAATATTTCACAGGAGCTCTGGGAACTCATTAAATTAAGCCAATGTAATCACACTATGGTTAAAACTTCTGTCTTAAGTTGTTTGTCACAGCTTTGTTTGCATTGGCCTGAATTAATCCTACCAGTATCATAGTGCAGAAGCAGGTCCTGCTGGTGGTCTCCAACAGTCGTCGGGTGGAAATCCACGGTCACTTGCATACTGTGACCTACATCAAGAGTCCCAGAGGCTGGCGTCACTGAGAAAGGCCTGGAAGGAGTTCATGTGGCTTCAGTTCATTTACTGACCCATCATTAATGTTTCTGCCACGCAGCAGACAGCATGCCTTTAAGAAGGGGCTCTCACCTCTGTGTTTGTAGCCTGAACTTGGCCTGGCTGTTCCCTACATTGCGAACAAGGTGAGTTTTCTGTGTGGAGCCTTTAACAGGACAGGCTGGAAGAAGAACCTCATCTCGAAAGTCAAGAATGGCACGTGGTCCGATGGCACGAATGGGGATCTCAAAGCGCTCCCTCTCTGTCACGCAAACCACTCTGTGGCTGTAGTCCTTAGTGGGAAACGATTTTAGAAAGATGGTTGTAAACATCTAAATCTTCTTATTCACTCTGTCATCTGCTGTATTTTCTCTCCTGTCACATCATTAATTGACACTATAACCCAGTTCAGTTCAAACTCACTTGCCATCACAACACCTCCACATATTTAACAGAATCAGGATTCACTCTGCATTTTCTGGATAAAGAGTACACTGGTCCAAGTCCGAGGCTCTGCCCTTAACAGCTTATTGCACTACTGCTTTCCATCCAGGAGCATTTCAGTAGCCTCATCAAGGTATTCTGTATTTGGCTACTCAAATTTCCCAAATAGCTTAAAGATTTGGTCAAAGTCAATTTTGACCCATTACTACAAAAAAATTATTGGAATGGTGAAAGATGGGCAACTCTGAATTTGTCCATGGCAGGTAAAGTTAACATTTTGTTCCCAAACTTAATTATCTTGTGAAATCCCTCCCCTGCCTCACTGTTACTTTAAAAGGTTCGACAGAATATCCAAAATATTTATTTGAAATGGTTTGTACCACAGCAAGTTACAAACATCGTCTGATAACGGAGGTTTAGGGCTACCAAAGATGTTATTTGACTATTATGCTTTTAATTTAAGGCACCAGGCTCATTGGTCCCTTTCTCTTAAAACAGCACCGCCGTGGAACAAGCTGTTGTTGCCCCTCCGTCTGCCATGTAAGTCTTCCCTACTAAATTAAGTAAAAAAGCAAATACCCATCTCATAATCGCTCATCTTGAATTAATTTGGTTTAATTTGGGTGGCCTGAATATTTAAATTTGACCCTTTTCTAAATGCCTCTTCAACTATCTGGTTAAATCCTAAATTACGAATTGGCAAGTTGCCAATTTAGTGATGATGATTGGAAAACAATTTGTAGGAATATTAAAGTAGGTTCAAGGAATGCAGGAGTATGCCCTATTCAATTTAAAACTATGCACCGTTTCTATTGGGATCGCTCTAGATTATTTAGATTAGGATTGTCGTCCACTTCGCACTGCTGGCAATGTAATTCTGAGGAAGGTACTTTAATTCATGTTTTATGGTTATGTCATAAAATCCAACAATCCTGGAAAAAATGTTCATGGTAATCTATGTGAGATTACAGAGATTCAAACTCCATTTACTCCTAGATTATTTCTTTTGAGTGGTCGATCAGTTCTGACAGGACAGGATAAACATGTTAAAAAATCTATCCATACTAGTATTATGATTGGCAGGCTAATACTTGTCAGGGGATGGAAGACAAAGGGGGTACCCTCCATGCGGTAGCCGGCAGTGGCTTTAAATGTGTTGTTTGCTAACAGAATACCTCTTGAATGCACTGCTCATTTAACTTACTTCTTGTTTTGACTTTACTGCAAATGATTTTCGGTGTATATTATTATTCATCTTGCGTTTTGTCTTGATTGACACAGTTAGTGTAACTATGGCAGTTATATGAAGGAACATGGGGGCAGATGTTGGTAACCACAAAAGAGACCAGCACAGATGGTGGTGCTTGTCTGGGGGGGGGTATGTTTGTTGTTGTTTGTTTTTGTCGAATAATGAAAATGGAAAATAAAAACTGTCAATCTCAAAAAGGACTCACTCTGACCCTTTAATCATTTCATTTCACCATTCTCATTCAGTTTTTCAGATAATAATGATGCTTTCCAATCACTGCTCTGAATTTTTCAGACTTACTTTTGTGAGGTCCATGACAGCTGTACAGTCTGTATTCATCTTTATGGGACACTTAAATTATGACATTCACAGCTCCTGAGAGTGATTTATCAACATGTGCTACTACTACTATTCCAGATGGATTTGTTTATTTTCCACAGCAGAAGGATAACCAGCTTGAGCCCAAGCAGGAACACCTTTAACCAAATGTTGTGGGTTCACTTACAGTCTCCTCAGCCCATAAAGGGACAACCTAGGAAAACACAGAACTTTTCAGGAAACTGCATTAAAGCTTAAATCCTGATAAATAACTAAAAAAAATTATAGATGTAGCTCCAAAAACCTTTAACACATTTTGGTTTTGAATATAACCAAATTTTGGCTGAGAGCACCAAATTTGTCATTTCACTTCATTTTTGTTTTTGTAAAAAATAAACAATAAAAACAGTTTCTGTGTAGAAATATTTCCAGACATGACATTAAAGTCTGTCTCCCTTTATATCTCCTCCAGGAGCACACATTTATGTTTCTTTGCAGTCCTCTTTGGTCGTAGACCTGTGTGTGTGAGTAATGTTTGGGCAGTACCTTGTTCTCCTGTGGCTTGAAGAGGACTGTAAAAGTGGCAGACATTCCTGGTGCCACCTTGCTTCCTGCCTCCTGTGGACCTTCCACATAGAACTGCTCTGAGTCCAGATGCTCCAGCTTCACGTGCCGGGAAATCTAAAAAAGAACAAGAAATAAATACTTTATAGACTAAAAACCCCACATTAACAAACACTAAGGCAAATGCATCAAAGGTTTATTATTTGTTTGTTACAACTCCAGTATCCTGTGTCCATTTCCAGCCATTTTTCACTCTTTATATGTTTACTCATCCCAAGAGCTTAAAGCTAGTTTTGATTAGAGAGCAGAGTTTCACAGCAGCTATGCTATTTAACCATGTTTTCCATTGATGATGTTTATCACTCTCATTAGCACACCTTGTCTTTGTTGACGAGAAGCAGAGGTAACTTGTAGGTCTGTGAGGGAAAGAAGTTCTGAAAGACCAGCTCAGATGGGTAGGGCTGGAAAAGTGGCCGGCCCATGTCCACCGTGGTTATCTGAAAACACAAACACACACATGTAACACTAAGGAGTTCCTGCGTGTGAGCCCTGCAATCCAAAACATTTAAGAGTTTCGGTCTAACTGAGTTCACATGGTATTCTGCGTTTTACTGTAGGTCTGATTTACAACACGTATGCACGGTTCAGTTTATTGCTGAGTTTGGGGAGGAGACATATCTCAGCATTTCTATACTGTGCCCTCAATTCGTAAACTTTGTCAACAACCAGATTAAAAATAATAGCACTAGTGTTATAGAAGGAATGTCAGAAGTATTGTGCTTTCTTTCACAAACCAAAGCCGAGCCTTTCCAATTATCTTACTATTATGATTCATCCACGCTCAACGGGCCAATGCAGCCAACTATCATATATTCTTCTTCTTTTTATATCAAACCCCCATTTGTGAGAGTAAATTGTTTTAAATGACACATCTTCTATTGTTACGGAGTTGCCAGAGCGAACCCTGACTCACACAGAGTCTGCTGGGAATTGCTCCCACTGCCTGACTGACGCTGCTCATTCTGGAGGTTAGTCACTGCTATGTTTGCAAAAAGTTTTTTTTTAAGTTTACAAGGTTAGGTGCAAAAATGGTTCCGGATAGATGTGATAAGGTGGCATTTCTTAATTTCAAAGGCATCTCGTGAACTTTTGGCATTTTTGCTCCAGGCCTCGTGTGAAATAGTGCCCTTAATGTTAATGAGCACTGAGTCACAGTGTTTGCCCTCTGCCCATCAAACGGCACTTGCTGACTAAGGGCTTTACTATACCGTAATTTAAATGTCCTTAGCAGAAAGTGCATGCTGTGTATTCTGGGGATGAAATCATGAAATAATGAGAAGTCTGCTCCTTTTGGAATTATTTAGATACCAATAATCTGTGTGGATATAGAATTTCAGTAAAAATGGTGACTTGTTTTCTCACACTAATTTCTGGTGAATTCTCCTGAGCTTTATTCTCATAAAAATAAAAATCATTATCTGAGCTGTCATTTATCCATATAATACCATATGTATCACATTTGATAAATACGGTTTATAAAATCTTTTGCATCAGAGGCCTTTTGCATTGTTTAACCATAGAAAATGTGCTCAAAACCCTGTTTTACACAATCAGATATACCTGATAACAGCAGGCAGAAGACTACACAACAATCATTTTGACTTATCACACAGTGATAATTTATGAATATTCAAAGATTGTTGTTTTTTTCATATTTTGATAAAGGGCCAAATAATATCCCAAAAAATCATTTTATCTTTATTTTTTTCTTGCTTTTTTTTGCATTAGTCCTTTAGTCAGTTTCAACATCTGACTGTATTATCCTGGTAGTCAGTGCCAGCTGGGTCGCTCCTGTCAGAAGGGAATCATGAATGACAGAATTTGCAGGTATTTACTCTCTGATGCGGAGGGCCATTCATGGGGAGCAGTTCCAGGATGCGAGGCGGCTGCACCTCCACGGTGTTACTCAGGCGCTCCTCTGTAGACTGCAGCATCTCCTGAGTGAAGGCTGATGGAGTCACCTGCAGTCAAACAGCAGCAGGCAGACTTTTATCCACTGATAGCTGCTGCTGTGCCTTTAAATTTTTAACAGGAACGATGAGACACAGTTCGTTACTAGCGAGAGGGGCAATGGGAAAAGTTAATGAGCTCAGGACGTGAAGGCGATCAAGTCAAAACAGGCTACAACTGTGGCACTTACCAAAGACAGCCCCATTAGCAACTTCTACCTGAACTGATTCCATGTTCTCAGAGAAGGTTAATATATTCCAGTTTTTGTGACCATCAGCAGCCTTTTCTACACAATCCTATGGCACCTCTGTATCAGTGGTTTAGAGGCAGGGAAACATCTAACTGCACTTAGACTATTTCAAGGGTGGTTTAGAGCAGGATTTAGCTTAAATTTGAATTAATAATGATGCAATTTTCATTTCACTATTTGCAATATTCAGAAGCTCCCATGTTACATCCTTGAATTTACTATTAGATAACAAATAATTTGTCTATAAATGTAACTTTGGTTTACAGGGGTGTCCAGGCTGAGACTATTATTCTGATCGTAGCAGTACAGAGACTATTGCCTAATTTTTCCTCATTTCCGCCTAGTGCTATAAAGTCCCATTTCATCCATTTTCACATGCCTGATATCCATGAATTAGTACATCTTTTTCATTCAATCCTTAATGGCAAATTGAAAACAAGAGCCGTTTCTCAAGCGATGCCATCTAAATTATATAGAAATTACCTCAAATTAAATTCATAGATCCCCCCTCAATTCAATCTTCCCTCATAAAAGACTGAGATTAATCTCAGCCCTTAATACTAATGTTTTAAAAATAAAAGTTTTTACATTGGGCCAGAAACCAAAATGTTCCTATGTGTGACTACAAGAAGGATACCATCAAACAAAGATTTATCAGTACAATCAGTTGTAAAGACAGATTCTCCATTTAATGGCTGAAGAGGGCTCCAGGTGAAGCAGGAGAGAGCACAAGCCTAAAATTGCTGAGTTGAGGTCACTGCAACTAAACACTGCGGTAAAATATTGATTTTTGTTCCCGATAGGAAGCCAAGGTAATTATGAGGGCAATCTGTCATTTTAAGAAGGCTCCTTAAAAGCATGGGACAATGTCCAAAATATGGGTCAAAGGAAGCTGGGCTTCCGTTAAGTCACACGGAAAACAGGGTTCCAATATCTGCAGAATTCTGCGAATAAGGCTGCATCGGTTATCATACCACGATAACCTTCAGGACGAGTTCACAAGCAGCAGCAGAATTTGGTTCAGAGGAAAAAGTGAAAAGGATTAGATCCACCCACCCGTCTTGGCTTGTTCTCTTTGACCAGGGGTTTATTAAGCAGGGCTGCCTTGTTCTGAATCTGAGCAGGCCTCATTTTGACCCTTTTACTGCAGAACAACCTGCAGAAAGGAAGATGTGGAGATAATTAAAGAAGATATGCATGGGGTAAATGGTAAGAACGTGCTTGTCTTCACATAACTCTACTAAACAATGTCAACAACCCCGTAAGGGGTTTAATTTTTCTTTTTCTCTGTGACATGAACTACAATGTGGCACATAACAACAGGGGAAATATTTTTTGTAAACCATGCATCAATGAGTCAGTAAACTGGATTAACTGAGCCAAAAATTCATATAAAACTGGAAAAACTGGCAAGACGAAGACAAACAAATTCCTTTCAGTTTTCCTGGGAGTAAAATGGCCTTTTTATTCTAAAACAAAAAAAGAAAGTTTGGGCTGACAGCTCCATATTTACATGAAAGCTGGACCTTTGAGAGGAAATACACTTTCTGTTGGAAGACTTATAGGCTTTACTTTCCTTCTGGATATTTCTCCGTTTATGCTTATTTACTTTAACCCTGCGTTAGACGCATTTTTAAAACGTCATATATGTTCACCAGCAGTTTTGTAAACAGAAGAAGAAATAACTCAGGTTAAAGGTTTTGCTGCCTGTAAACCGACTGGTTGACGTAAACAGACTGTAGAGTCAAAACTGAAAGACGTTTTCGTCGTGGTATATCCTCCATTATGTTGGTTTTGTTCAACCCGGCTAAATGGGGCTAGTAACGGTCACACCAGCTCGGCAGCAAACGGTAAACCAACGGCCACATACGGTCAATGTTCACTATTTTGTCGTTTAACCGCTTCTAATATCTTCTTTACGTGACAAAATACTTCTAATTGGAATAATACGTTTGTATGGGGTAAAGCTGCAACGTGAATTACGCACCAGTAGTCTTGTTTTTGAGTTGTTTATCGAAACATAAATGAGAGGGCTTCACGTTAACTTTGAGAGACGGTCGGCTGCAACCTGCAACTTTTCCCGTTGAACGTGTCACTCAAAACTGCAGCAGAGGAGCCGTGAGCAGTTTAAACTTTCGTTTTTCGTAAATTAATTTAATGAATTTCGTAAATGAATTCTCCTTTCGAAGTCTTACCAACGTTTACAGCAACTTGTGGGCAGAATTAATCTCCGTTGTGGTTCGTTACCGGGGCAACGCTCATGACTGGCACCAGTGAGCCGCACGCTGATTGGCTGAGAGCTGCCATTGCTTACTCGGCACCTGTGAAGGTTTTAACAAAGGTACAGGTGGTTGGTGGGCTGCCTGAGTCTCATAATGAAAAAGTAAGGTTAAAGGTCAAAGGTCAGGACGGTACAGATGTACTGAACAGGTATGTCTCGTTTGTTTGGCCTGCAGGACAAAGCCTCTGTTGGATGGGGGGTATAGTTATTTAGTTATAGTTTTAGCTGTGGAGAATTTAAAATCACATTTAAATCCAAAGGTCTTTATTATGATCAGTAACTCTGCTTGTGCTTACAGCCAGTCCAACACAGTTTTATATGGTAAAATTTTGAATCAGCATTCATAATTCTTGCTCAGTTTCTTCAGTGACCCATTAAAAGCTACTTTTCTACATTTTTGTGCCACATATTTTAATTTAATCTTCAAATGGATGTTTTTTCTCCTCTGTGTGTGAATTTTCAGTTCAGAAGGAAACAACAAGTTGTCGATAAGTCTATTGAAGAGGGCGATCAGTGCATGAAGTTTAAATGAGACAGCTGAGCAGGAGAGCTGTGATCTACTTGGATACAATGTTGCGACACCAAATGAAAAATGATGGCCTTCATGACTTGTAGGGAATATTCTCCAAGAAACCTGGAGCCATTTTGAGTTCCTATTTAGTCTATCTTGACTAAATGTACATATCAGTTGAGATACTGGTGCCCTCTTCCTCCATGCTGCGATAGTCTAGTATTTCATCTGTTTTTCCATCAGGATTCACTCTACTCTTATATTTAAAAGGGAGTTTTTTACTTTTAGTCCGCATACTAAGCTTGATATAAAATGCAGGCCTCTATGCAAGATGCTGTTAGTAGTAGCACAAACACATGTTTTACAGGCTGAATATTATAAAAACATTTAACTTTAAAGTTTTTTTTTAAGACTGAACTTGATGGTATAAGCAGATTTGGTGCATTTTTCCTCCTCGTCTCAGACTTTATGGATTATTATAGTTTTGTTCTTATGATACACAAATAAAGATGTAAACATGTTCTGAGCTCGTTTTGGACTATTTTACTGAAAGTAGCAGGATTTATCAAGCATGCTCCTGGAGTTAGAAGCAGATGTGCTCACAATAAAAACACTTAATAAAATGGTTATATTTTTCCATTTAATAAGCACGTGCTGCACTAAATGGCACTCAAAGGAACATAAAATGACCAAAGCAGCCGTACACTGCTACAAAGCCACCATCAGCTCTGTGTGTGAGTTCAAGAGGGTCATCATGAGGCCAAGCAGGACAACAAAAGGGATTTGAAGCCTCAGTGAGCATGATGACAGAGCAGAATTTTCCGGTTTAATCAACACAAGTACAAATCCATTAATCTCCTTTGAATGAAAGTGTGCTGTACGTTTTTAACTGATACACTGAAAGAATGTTACAGATGAATCTTCCTCTCAACTAAAGACAAATTGACCCTGATCATCTTTGTTATTGACTTTTTGTTTCAACCTCATTCCTTATAATAATAACTCTGGGTCACAGTCTGAATGGATGACTTTGGGGCTTTTTGGAGCGTCATTTCTCATTTCAATATTTTGATTGTGAAACCTTTTTCTTGCCGTTTTTGTTTAATCTTCAGTGCATGTTATTGAATTCATGACCTTAATTCATCGGCCCTTTAAAACAGTTTACAGCTACACTGGAAGCATTGCTTCCCCGTCATGTGAAATACTTGGGAGTCCATAGCATCGTGTGTCGGTGCACCACTTTGTGCGTTTCATCGTTTGAATTGGCTTCATATTAGTTTGCGTGAGTGGTTTCTCTCACCATCATTTCCGTTCTTTTCTTTTGAGCCATGAGGCAGCACTTTGAATTGTTGCTGCCTGAGTGAGAGACGGGAACAGGGGGTGGGATTCTGTTTTCACAGACTGACACACGTTCAAAATTCCTTACACGTTTGGCTTTTAGCCCAGTGGACTGCTGCATGGGAGCATTAGAAAATTTTTTGGAACATCTCACTGTGGTCCCCCCATCTCTGTGCTCTCCCCTGTCCTCCCCCTCATAGCCCCCCTCTGCGTTCCCAGCCTTGTCACTTCCACTGAACGGATCAGTGGATTGTCCAGCCTGGTAGAAAATTGGATTTAACCGTGTTCAAAGAGACCGGCCGTCTGCGTAAGCCCCGCCCCGTCACCCTATGTGCGGTGACGTCAGCGCGTAGCATGACCTCCGCCGCTCCGTGCGCATCAGCAGAGCCTCCATCAGCCGCTCAGGAAGCACCGTGAAACCGCGCACGGAAAGTGCCCGTCAAAATCAAACGGTGCCTTTTACGCAGATCTCCACCAGCTATGGAAGCGGCCTCATCCTCCAGCCTCTGCAGGTAGGAGCGATCCGGCCGGGTGTCGGTGGAGTCTGGGGGGGGGGGGCCCACGGTTGTCAGGATGTTCTCCATCATCAGAATTTAGATCACAAGCGATGCTTAAAGATTATTTGTGGATATAACTCAATGTAGTTTGTCAACAGCTTTTTAAATAATGGGACGGTTTATTCTAAGGATTACAGCAGCCTATGGGGGCTTTCCTTACCCCTGTGACGTAGGCATGTCGCGTGAGCTACAGGTGGAATGTGACAACAACGCAGCTCTTGCCATTGAAACCTGCTTTCCGGTGCCATAAGGCGCCGGGCTGGGCTCCTCCTGCCCCGTCAGGTTACAATCCAGCGGGTGCTTTCTCCCCACAGCCTCGGAGCTGGAGGCAGCCCCGTCAAACCGGCTCGTGTTTTCAGAACTGGACGGAGTCCAGGAGGACATTCCGTTTTTCCGGCTGCTCCGGAGCAGGAATACAGATTAGCCCCCAGCACCAAGGACAGCTCCGCACGCTCACTTCCTGATTCCGATCACAACAGAGCTGCCACTGAGCAGCTGATGCGTCTCCCACGTGACCCCACGCACTGCTTTTCACAGGAGTAGTAACTTCACTCACTGTCCCAAAACTACAAATAACAGTGCAAAAAAAACTTTAAAGACGAAGAAGGAAGGCAGAAGTATATTTTCCCCTTTAAATTTAAATACAATTTTCATTTTGAATAAAAATAAATATATATATATATATATATATATATATATATATTAAAAGAGCTGTTTTAATCTCTTCAGATCGTCTTTTTTAGTGATCTGATAGATTAATCTATTGGTTCATTGTTCTATTTATCATTAACCAGAGCAACTTTTAACAGTTTGGTCAAAAAGTCACCCAAACATCATCCTGCAATGCACAATAGGTTAAACAGTTTCTACATTAACTTTTGCAGAAGTAAACTGATTATTTTTTTTTTTACATCAAATGTAAACAAATAGTCTTTCCTTTTAAACACTATTTATTATAGTTTTTGTGTGGGAGCTGATGTAACTGGCTGCACGTGTCTCTTTTCGTCATTTTTCACTTTTATGTGATTCATACATCAGCCATTAAAAACCAGATGTGGATCATGTGAACGCTTGTCATTCATTTCCAGTTTCAGCAGGCACTAATTCCTGTCAGAGCACTAACCTTTGTGTCTCTGAGGGGTTTCTAAGCAGCACTCCCATCATCACCGACAGAAACACAGACACAGGAAGCAGAAAAGCACACTCTGCCCATTCTGTGAGCCAGGATTCATCAAAGATGTTCGATTAGACAAATACAACACAGATGAACAGTACACAGATTCATCTGATAAATGTTGACCTGAAAACATGAAGCACTGCTCACTAAATGGGTCTTAATTGCCATAAAATCTGAATTCTGAATTTCCTCCATGCATGCTTGTTTTCCATAATATTATTGTTGGGGCAATAGGGGTCACCAGATCCCGTTTTAGCACCGATCGATGCACAGACCCTGTGGATATTTGGGTGGACACTTCATTCACCATGACTCGTATTGAAAATCCATTCCTTTAACTTGATAGTCCAGCTTGCGTGCTTAAACTCATGGCGTTCGGCAACACGTTCCATATCTGTTTGTTAGCTTGACTTAAAGCTACAAGGACAAAACAAAATGGAAAGACCGAGGGGCCCCGGGCGACGCAGACGTAGCAGTCATCCCAGATGACAGCCCCCAAATGGGCCCGGACTCACCGGGCCAGATCGGTCTGCAGCCCGGCGGGTTGCTCCGTCTTAATAACAAAGCTCCAAACACGCAGGAAACATTAACAAGGCGATAGCTTCCCACGCAGATTTATGAGCAGAATTACAGACTGTTTCAGTCTTTATTCAACGCAGCACCCCAAGGCGAGCCGAAGCAAATCAACATAATACGGCCGGTGCACCCACTTTTACAACAGAACGAAAAGCCATGAGGGTGATGCATGGCTTTTACACAGAGCCCCTTGATGATGGCGGCTGTCCTGGCAGAGGTTTTCTGTCATTGTGACACAATGCCACGCGGACTGCCAGGAGGCTAGTTTGCACCTTATTAGAGTTTATTTTTCAGAGGTTTAGCAGAGCTTGTTCTGCTGCAGAATATGTGCGAATGCAGGTGTGTTTTACATCCACACACTCTTAGCCCACACGTTTCTGCCAGGGTATGTTTCAGGCTCAGTAATGGTCACATAAACCCTCCCACTTCAACACTTTCGTAGAAGCAGTCCTGTGGCTTGGTTCTTCCAACTCGGGATGGACGATTTGTGTTTCTTGGGAAAATGTTGTCTTTTTTTTATTTAGTATTCTTTTTTTTGGGCAGTTATAGTTATGAAGATTACAGGGAGACAGCGGACTGGCTGCTGGCCCACACAGAGAAGCGACCCAAAGTAGCCATCATCTGTGGCTCCGGCCTGGGGGGCCTGGCAGAGCTCCTGGAAGACAAAAACGCCTTCCCGTACGAGGACATTCCTCGGTTCCCCACCAGCACAGGTACGTTGCATCGACCACCTTCAAAGTTTTTAATCAGGCTATTGAATTATGGATAATGTTCCCTGAAATGTCAACAACGCCACAATTGGTGTGAGTGACGATTTAAAGCTGCAAAAGCAGTCCAAACCTTGACCTGTTTACATTTGGGACATATTTCTCCTCTACAATGTAGTGTTTTCCTCCCTTCACAAAGAAAATCTCATAATCCACTAACTATTCCCACAGGCAGCTCAGAGTTTGTGCTCCCAGCTCTGCTCTCCACGGCTCTGTTTTCTCACAGTGATGGAAGAACAGCACATTAACCTTTAAGCTTTAAAAAGGTCACCCACAGTTTCTTTGTAACTTCTCAAATCAGTTCTTGTCACAGCCTTTGTTACTTTTCCACTCTTGGGGCTGGTAACAATTACCTTGAATTTTCCCCGTCTGCAAACTGTTGTCTGACTGTGGACTCCAAACTCTTATGGAAAGGTTTTCACTTTTCAGCCAAATGAGGATCGAAGTGTCCTTTTTCCTTCCAGAATATCTCGTTTCACATGCAATTATACCGGACCAAGCATTCGTAGAGCTTTATTCAAGTAAAATGACCCCCACTCACATGGCTATAACACAACCTGAACAATTTAAATTAAGTCAATCCTATTTGCATGTATTCTTATATGGATTTGTCATTTTAAATAATTTCTCACCAAATATAAAAATCCAAGTATAAGATCTTTGCCTTTTTTTTTTCAAACAATGCTTGGTAAAGTAGTAAACTGATTAAATCTTGGTGTTTGTGGAAGAAGTTTCTGTGTCAGAAATGCATCCCATTGTGATCAGTAACATTTGAATAGTCAAACATTTATTATTGCTCAAAGGAATTTACTTTGAATTATTTTAAACCTTTGTTTACATGGAAGGATTGGATTTTTGCAGACTCAGCTGCCGACCGCAGGTGGAGTTTAACTTAATATTGACTTATTCACAAAAGTCTAACATAGACCATGACCTGAAACTGAAGTTTAGAAGCCAAATCCTGCAAAATGATAAAGAACCACGAAGGAATGCAAACTAAAGACGAAAATAGGAGGAAAGCAGCAGGGATCTGACGACGCCGGGGAGAGAACATGGAGCTAAAACTCTGAGAGGGATGACTGGTGAGTGGTGGCAGGTGAGGATAATTAGTGAAGGGAGTGGAGCTGCTGAGCAGAACAGGAGACTCAGGAAATCTGGAATAATGAGCAGCGTCTAATACGAAGCAGAAACCAGGAGAAGGTGAGCGGAGAACATGGAACCAAAGGAGCGATCAAGCTGGAAAAAAACAGCGCAGAGTGGAAAGGCAGAATAAAAGCGGAGGCGATGAGAGTAACGATGTGCTGGTGGTGTGTGTGCTGTGCAGTGCAGGGCCACGCAGGCCGCCTGGTGTTCGGGAGGCTGCAGGGCTGCGAGTGCGTCTGCATGCAGGGCCGCTTCCACTTCTACGAGGGCTACAACACACACACGGTAACTCACAGCGAATGAATGGTCTCCGGGTTCTGAATGATCTTGTCGGGAGTTTCTGTTTCAGCTAACTCAGGAAAACTGAGAAAACACTTTGCTTCCTTTCAGAGAAATGGGAGTGAGCAAATCTTTAAAAACTAGACTTTGTAATTTGACTTTTTTTTTGCATGATTCGTTTGCTAATTAAAACATTGTGAAGCAGCTGACACTGGCGTTAAGTAATTATTAACCAAAGGTCTAGGTCATCGTCACTGAAGAGGGAAGACTTGTTCTCCATTTAATGGCTGTGTGCTGAGTTTGTACTGAGATGTTTCAATATGGACCACACACACCATCCAAACGGCCTTGTAAGTCGACCCTATAATGTAGAGTGTGTGTCTGCTCTGTTAAAATTTACAATACAATTAAGAGAAGGTGCGTCCTTAAATATTTCATTATGTTTTATGTACAATAATACGTCTCTTAGATTTCTCTGACATTGTTTTTCATTGTGAATTTAGAATATCCTTCTATTAAATTTGGGATATAATGAAGGCCGTAATGTAAAACTGTCCAGAAATGGTGATAATGGCTAGAAAAAGCATTTGTCATGATGATGCATTGTGATTTCGGTCTGCTTTGGTGGTCAAACGTGTAGTTTATTGCATTCTTGGCCTCACAAGCTTTAGTCCTCCAGATTGAAGCAGGGCAGTAAACGGACTCGTGATGGTGTCTTACGCACGGAAGTCTGACATTGACAGTTTTTAGGATCTGAGACACATTTTGCTGTTTGCGTTACATAAGTTGTCCATCTTACTTGGTCCCTTGGCAGCTCGGGGGTAATTAACAATTTGAATAATCTATATTTGAGCTCTCGTAGGCACAGATTTAAATGCATTTGTAATTTCTGCTGATTTAATTGGTCTCGTAAGCTTCTGTTAAATTTCTCTCTCAAGCCAACTCGCCTCCTCAAAGACCTTGCTGATGCAAATGATATACTATACGAGGTAACTGAGGCAAAGCCGGCAGTTTAAACTCTGACTTTGTCAGTCACATTGAGGAAACATTCGCCGGCTCTGCAGAAGTGACTTAATCTTTAAACCCTGGCCGTGTCTGAAAAGCTAACTCAGTAATTCTAGTCACACACTCTTTGAAAGACACATGATTGACTTTGTGACATCTCCCTTAATAAGACAGTGGCTGTGGGGAAGACACTCCTCCTCCAGCTCACACCGACATGTTACTGCTCTTTAAATTTACTAGACATTTACATTGTGTGTGTGTGACTCATAAGGTTTTATGACGCCCTTATTCTTTATGTAAAGTGATGTCTTAATGACTTCTGATCACAGCTTGACAGACCATTAACTACAACTTTGGCTAAAAATGGACTTTGTGCAGAATGATCAGCTGTAGAAGCTGGTGGGTGTCATAACGCCATCATGAAACTGGCCTTTGACTCCTCGAGAGTGAATATTGTGGTTTAATTTCAGGCAAACTGAAGGTGGTGTATGTTCAACAGGTCATGTGGTTTTCTGGGAAATTGAGTTTTACTTTGCTATTTGACCTCAATGGTCCAACACAGATTTGGTTTTCTTTGCTTTTTGGGGTAAATGTGGAGACAAAATATTTGCACATAGTCTTGTTGCATTCCATTATGCTTGCATATGCTACAAGTTAATTTGTGTTATTGTTTCTACTTGTAACTTAACAGAGACAGAACCGTGAATAACCCACTAAACGTCTGTTCATCTCTTTTCCGACTGAGGATTGTTTTCTAACAAAGCAACAAGTCAACCAGCATCACAACCCGCCTTCATAAAGGGCAGCATCCCAAAGTGACAACACTGACCTTATTAAAAAAAAAAAGATTTAAAAATGCTTCAGCGCCAAATAACAAAACGGCCTAATTTGAATGTTATCTGGTGACAATTAATGTGAAGGAGCACATCGTTGCACAGAGCTGCAGCTGTTTCATACGGTCACAAAAAACGAATAAAATTCCTATTGTCTACTGATGTAATTGCAATAAAAACAACTTTTACCAAAGGGGTGCGTTCTTGTCTCTGACCGTCCTGTGGTCCCCCTCCAGGTGACATACCCGGTGCGAGTCTTCTTCCTGCTGGGGGTGGAAACTCTGATTGTGACAAACGCAGCAGGGGGGCTCAATGAGGCCTACAGCGTCGGGGACATCATGCTCATCAAAGACCACATCAACATGCCTGGCTTTGCCGGGCAGAACCCCCTCTGTGGACACAACGACGAGAGGTAAGGCTCTGACGGCTGCTGAGGTCCGGGTCCGGGCCCGGCGTCCGGCTGATGAATGAAAAATGCCGCCGCAGGTTCGGGGTGCGCTTCCCCTGCATGTCGGACGCGTACGACCGAGAGCTGCGGGCCCTGGCCAGGACGGCCGCGCAGGAGCAGGGCTGCGACGGCTTCCTGCAGGAGGGCGTCTACTGCATGCTGGCCGGACCCACGTACGAGACCATCGCGGAGTGCAGGGTCCTGCAGACGCTCGGGGCTGACGCCGTGGGTGAGTACCGCTCTGCCCGGGCCCCCTCTCTCCATCCCATTCTAAAAGGACGCAGTGCATCCAGGAGAGCTTTCTGTAACCCATCTATAGAGTCGTGAGTACGAGCTGACGCTTTAATTAGATGGGATCGAAAGGGCGATCGTCAAATCACATTTTCCTGTCAGCAAACCGTCGAATTTGTTATCGGTTTTTACTGGATTCACGGTGATGTGAAGATAAATCTTATCTGATGGTGTGGAGGTGGTTTTACCCACAGTGACGTGAGACTGAAGGCTGACTAGGCAGCAGCCAGGCAGTGATGAATTCACCCAGTTTAGGACCATCCCAAAGTCTTTGCAAAGTAACTGAACTGAGTTGCATCTTTTTTCTTTCAAAGAATGTTTTTCCAAAACATTCTCTTTAAAACACGGGCTCTTCAAACCTAGTTACAAACTATGTCTAATTTTATCAACTGCTGCAAAGTCAAGCCGAGTTTCCTTCCATATAAATGTAGAACAAACATGCACCTTTTAAACTGGACTAATTTCCCTCATCGAAGATGACAATTAAACACAATAATCCCACATTATATGCTTGTAAAGAACTGAATGACTACTGTCTACTCCGATTATCAGGGCATCCATTAATGTCTGAAAGTATTAATGTTTCAAGTGCTTTAAGTCTTTAATTGCCATCAAATGGCTGTGCACACTAATATTGGAGGGAAAAATAGATATATTTTCTTTCCAATATTGGGGGCAGTCTGGCTGATCTTACATAAAATAGTAACTGTCAAAGACGGTAAAATACAAGATGGACCCAGCCACCAGGTTTCTGATGTGAAGCCGAATTGCCTTAAAGTGCAATAACATTAATGGCTGCTTGGCTCTAAAATGTCTCTAGCGACAATATATTCATACTAAATAAGGTATCCAATTTTCTTCGAGTACCGAATCTATACTTACTTTCTTACCAGTCATTACAGTTGCTTTTAACTTATTCATTTCTCCTGATTAGTACCCCGGTGGTAATGTCTTTCACATTTCTCCGATGTAACGGTTAGAAATGGGTCTTTCTGCAGTCAGGTTTCATGTCTCAGCTGCTCCCTCGGGTCTAGATGTGATCATTTCTAGCACCAATAAACCAAGATGACGTCAGACAAACCTCATGGATGCCATAACTTTAATCTTCCCACACCTGAGCAGAAGTCTGAGTTTTCAGCTGCGTTTCTCCAGGCTGCTGCCATCTGTGAAATGTTGGTACTGATTTGGGGACAGATATGTGGCTGCTTTATCAGCCTTAATGCTAGTTATTTTATTAACAAAATGAATTCTCTGCTTTGTGGCTCTGCTCAGTTTTGCCAAAGGCCATCTTGTTGTTCGTTTAATAATTTCATATGAAGTTATATTAATTTTTTAAAAACAACAAAAATGATTGAAGAGAAAATTTCAGATGGGGGGGGAAAAGGCAGATTTAATACATTTATTTCCTTTTTAGAACCTTAAGAACATTGAGCTGTCCTGGGCATTTGCTATGAAGTACATATTAAAAGTGCTCATAAATATTCCCAAAATTTAAGTAGAACTCACCAAAAAGCAACCACACGCACTGTCCCTCCGAGCGGCAATTTAAAGTGTTACATAAACCCAACCTGCATGTTTTTGGAGAGAACCCAGAGCTCTTGCAGATACAGGAGAACATGCAAACTCCTGAAAGGGGCCCCTGGCACCACGCCGCTCGGTTAAAACCATTTCTATGTTTTTAAATACCAATCGGGGTGAAGTTTCAGTCGCTGTGTGCTCTGATTTAAATGCTAACAATTGTTTGGATCCAGTTTGTGGCTTTGTGTTGCTCTTGCTCCTCAGACGGAGGATAGGTTCTAACATCCCTTTGCTCCGCTCCAGGTATGAGCACGGTGCCGGAGGTGGTGGTGGCTCGGCACTGTGGCCTTCGCGTCCTGGGTCTGTCTCTCATCACCAACAAAGTCGTGTTGGATTATGAGAGCAGGGAGAGGGCCAACCACGCCGAGGTGCTGCAGACCACCGAGCTCCGGGCTCAGGACCTGCAGAGGCTGGTCAGCCACCTCGTCTCTCAGCTGTAGCCTCTTCACCCGGCCTCTTTTTGCTGACTAATGTACCAGACTTCCAGCCCTGCTGGGGGTGCTCAGCTGCAGGGATCTTAGATGTGAGCAAACGTATGTGAAAATGGGGAGTCTGTCAGGTTTTTACTGTTTGGTTTTTATTAATTGTGGGTACAGCTATCGGCTTCAGAGTTGAAGCACATAGAGAATGTGATGAGTCAGTTTTTGAGTTGGAGAAACTCATGTTGATGGTTTAGGAATTGTTTATGGATCCTCTAATAATGAATCATTCGCACATGCTGGATGTTTTTTAAATCTGAAAGCACAAAACCAAGCTTGTTAGCTACTGCTCGTAGTTATCTGCATGTGATTTCCATTTGGGGGCTGTGCACACAACCAGACCCGATAACGGTAATAATCATTAGATCTCTAAAAACACTTGGATTTAATTCAACACCTGGTGCAGAATCAATGTTTTACAGTCTTCCCTGACAAAACCCACACTTATCCGTCACACTGATTAAGATAACAGAAAGGCTGGCGAAGCCACTTTGGGGTTTAAATCTAATGAAACGGCGAGCAAAACAGAAAGGAAGGTCAAAGAAAAGCTCTTCCAGGTTTGCAGATCCAGTCGTATTCTTTCAGCTGCCTTAAAGAAAAGACGGTTTCTCTGTTTCTTGACAGAAAACCCATCAGAAATGGCAGACGTGGGGAAAAAGAAAGGTTCAGAAAGTTAAATAAGCTTTTATTTCAGCTTTATACATTTTTTGTGGAGAAAGAATTGAACAAACTGAAACCTCATGAACAAAGATCCCTAAATGTTTCCTGTGGGGTGGCACTGGTAAAAAATGAGGGTCTTTCTTGTCAGCAGTCAATATTCTTTTATAATCATTTGTTGATCTTACCTTTGGTGTTATTTGCTGATATTTGATATTATTAGCCATCCCGTTCAAGCTCAGTTCCTCTTCCATACCTGTGTTTTTAGACTCAAAGCCCAACAGAAAGGTCAAGTGACCCTTAAGACTTGGGTCAAATCCTACCCTCAGTTTTCAAGATGCAAACTTCCCCTTTTCTTTGTGGAAAGATTGGAGTGGTTGTCATTTCCACCTCAATCAAAACATCATGGATGTTTAGATGGCTAGATTACCTCTATACAGAGGGGGTAAAACCCAAAGCAAAATGTGTCTGTTACTCCTCCAAAACAAAGACGCAGGGGCAAAATAGATGAGAACATTGCATGCTAGGGAGTGGTCTTCATATGTAAATGAACCCACTTAACATTCGCTGCTATTAACAGGAAATATAGTGATTGTATATTAAAACCTATTTGATGTATTAATCGGCACTAGCACACTTTCTTTCCAGGTCAATTAGAGTTTATACTGTAAATGAACAAAATAACATTGATTTATTATGTATTTATTTGTGAAATAATGCAAATCATTAAAAAATGAGTCCTGGTTTGATTTATTGTTGAAATTGAATTTAGAGATTAACATGTTTTTTAAAACCCTGTTCAGTAACAGATAGCTGCTTTTGTCAGCAGATTTATTGAAATCTATCATGTAAATAAAAGATAATGGCTGGCTCGGTTTTACTGGTAAATCAAGAGACCATAACACTGTAACACTGGAAAGAGTGGGAATACCTGCAGTTTCCAGCCTGAGCTGAGGTCGGACACCAGCCTCTCTGACCGCTTCCTCCATTTGAGCTGGAGAGGTCGAAAAATCCAAGCTCAGCAGTCCACCTCTCCGGCCGTTTGCCGCCATGAGAATGGAAATCTTACAGGTTAATTTTGCTCCATTCCATCTGTTTTTGTTTAATCTTTGTGAGCTCAGGATGTTTGAACATGTTAAAGGCTGCTATTTGCTTTTCATTTATGGGCATTTTTCTGTCATCTAGACCTCCTCATTCCTGTCTTGTGTTTGTCTTTTTTAGCTCAGGTTGAAAACCAGCACACTTACATAACCGAGTGCAGAATAAAGTAATTAATTTTCATGCTGCTGTCAAATAAAAAAAAAATGCTGATGACATCTGGGCTCTGGTATTTTCTGTCATGGATGAGTGCACATATGTGTGTGTGTGTGTGTGTGTGTGTGGACAGCACAAAATGAGTCAATATGAAACTCCTGTTCAAGGAGAAAAAGGAGTTTCTTCCCCTTTCAGTGATGAGAAGCATCACAGAACGGGACGCGGAGGCAAACGCCTCGCTGCCGACAGAACATACACTCCTACACACACACACACACACACACACACGCTTCCGAGTCCTTCACTTTAAACGCACCTCAAACCGACGAGGCCGCCGTCGGATTGAGATGAAGTGGAAATGGCTGCAGCGTGCCCCGCGCCGCTCCTCTTACATAATTCATCCACGCAGCTTGTGGATGTGCGGCCCGGCGTGGAGCTGAAATATTCATTCAGATGAAGCAGGCGGCCCGTCCACACGGGCACGGCACCTGCCCTCCGCGGCCGGACGACAAATAGCTGCGAGGCGCAGACGCAACGCGGCCATCTGTTGGCTCCGGGCCAGATGAGCCTATAGGGCTGGGTATTGATTGTCACGGGGTGCAAAGAGAAGCCGAGGAAATAGTGGCGCAGCCCTGCTGAGTTTACACTCTTAAACGCCATCACACGGTCAGGTTTTTCGCCCTTTTTAGGCGCACGGTTCCTGCAGCCTCCTCTGTGATTCTTTAACCAGCATCAGGAGCTCTACAGGAACAGAATGGTCTCTGCTGACCATCCGAAGCCGGCGGGCTGCCAGCGGCGTGTCAGCACCGTGCCAGCGTGCAGGGCGGAGCTGGAAAATTACCGTCCAGTTCAACCCTGCAATGGCTGGACGGGGTCAAGTCGGTTTTTACCTGCAAACACCTTCAACCGGGGCGCATTTCAAACCCCCAGAAATATAAAACACCAGCCGGCAGCACAGACCTCACATCATCCAGCAGCAACAACCTTTGTGGTGGTTGTAAAACCAAAACATTTCACAGCATTAATGCAGAGAGGAACCAGCTTCTTCTCAGCTGGAGTAAGTACAGACGTCAAGTCTCTCAATTAGCTCTGAAAAGAAGAGAATAAATCCCTGTTTGGCTGTTTCGGTCACAGGTCAGTTGATGAGGAGCTTATCTTCCATAGCTATATAATAAAACTGGACTGTTTTCTTTCCATTAAAAACCCTTTTAGGTACCTTTTCATTGTGCTGACACACTTTCCTGAAGTCTTAATAAAATCATTGTAGTTATTGTAATGACAGTAAAACTCTGACATATCAAATAAATTCAACACAAAGTGCTCTAAAAGCATTGTATTACCACTATTGGAAACATTATACTTTAGACACCCTCAGAGCCACAAGCTCCAACTCAAAACTGTTTTGTTTTTTCGTAATAACTGGTTATGGTCATGTGACCGGCCCAGGTTGTTAAACCACAGATGGGAACGCTGAAATCCCAAAACAGCCAGACGGCAGGTTCATGCTCCATTTAAAAGTCAAGTCGTAGCTCCTTTGTTAGGCATCACCTCGATGAACTCTTGGCCTTTACTGTTGGTCCAAACCTCTGTGCTTTTTATTATTCAGTTCAAGGATGTTTTTTTTTATCTGATAATCAGCCTGTGTATGAAACACCTCTTCTGCATTATCCCAAACAGATGTGAAGCATTTCTTATTGATCATTTTCGGCCTCAAATCAACATTCTCATTGATGATCCCGCAGAGGATTTGTTGGACTGGGGTAATGAGGCCAGCTGAACTAGTTTTTGTGGGAAAAGCTGCTGTTGTTCACCTCCTACAGCTAACGGCGTGCACAGGGGCAGAGGTGGACGGAAGCCCTCCTCAGAAGCTTCTGGTTTTTGGTGCGGCAGCGTCACAGATGACGAGGGATTGGACTTCAGCGTTTCAGATTCCAGACGTGACGGCAGTCCTTCGCAAACCACAGACGACTGACTTCAGAGAGCGGAAAGAGGGCTGGCTGGGTTTCTGAGGGGGATAAAAGAGAGCCCAGAAAAAAGTCTGACCCCATTTCGCGAGACGCTGTTGCAGCGACGCAGAGAACGCTGAAGAGATTCAGCCAATTATTGATTTGCAAGCAGGATTTTCTTTGTAGATCCACTTTGGTCTTCCTCCTGGTTCGTGGCCTTTTGTGACTGAATCATGAGCATTTATAAATCCTTGCTGGCCCTGTGAGCAGAAGCCTGTTTATCACATGTTCCTCTGCAAAACACAGGATTTAATTGAACTTCCAGATTTTGAGGTGAACCCTTGGAACTGAATTTGCATGGAGATTCAAATTCCGAAAGCTCATTAAATGACATATTTCCAGCCTCTGGTGAGCTAAAAACGTCTTTTCAGAGCTGGTAGTTGCCTCTGCACCCAAAAGCAGCAGCACTCAGAAGCACAAAAAACAACCCCCCCCCCCCCCCCCCCTCACCAAAAACCAGCCCATTAGACGCTGCAGGCACAGTTTACATGATTCTGTGCAACTTTGCAGTTTCTCATGCTTATGGGCATATGACCAAACAAATGGTAATCGTTTTTTAATGTGCGCTGTCACGGATGATCGAACAGAGCCGAACAAAACAAACACATTTACAAATCAGGAGCACTGCGGCTTAGTTTACATCTGCGTCTGGACCTCGATTCATGTTTTTAATTCGATTGTATTAGGGGCCATTTCAGATTCAGGCTGCATTGTGATCATATTCTGGTGCTTGCACACCTCAAATAAAAAAACAAAACAAAATACTTTTAAACTTAAATTCTATAAACGTTCATATTTGTGCTAAAAAAAATAGGCTTGACGAACTGAAGCACCCAAAGTATGACACGCATGACCTCTGACCCTGGAGAGTTTGACCACCACTGGCTCAATTCTGATTGGTCAGTTCCTTAGACATCACCTTTTGAGAATTAGTGTGAGCTTAATGATTGATTAGTTGCTTTCCAATTCACTGTATCAACAAAAATAATACCAAATGATCCGAGTCACACAGAGTCGACCGAGAAAGGAAAACCAGCAGATTGAAGCTAAAAGTGCAGAAGAAGAAAGAAAGGTGCATGATGGGAGCCCCCCAGCAGAACTCTGGGGGGCTTCAGGGTCCCTAACTGTCAGCTTTTGGGGCTCTGTGTGAGTCCTCTGCTGGAGATTTCAAACAAAACTTGCATGGAAAAGATTTCCCTTGCATGCAAATAGTGTGTTTTTGCCGGGAGACTGAAGAGCTTTAAGGGACACTTGCCTTCTTGCTCATTAAACAATTATTACTTCATCTTGAACATTATCACCTCTCGCGGTGGATGAGTTGTGAGTTGTGAGTCTCTGCACAGCAGACTGCTCATTAATGAAGAACCCCTCCCCTTTTCGCTTCACTACCATTTTTTCTGCCTTTCCTCTTTTTTTTTTTTTTAAATATAATTTACATTTGTTATGTGGGCTAATCACTGTTGGCTGGAGGCTGTGTGGGAAATGTGATTAGTGTGTGAGCTCTAATTAAGTCTGTGAAGCCTCACACACACACTGACGAACAGGCTCGGGGAGCTGCACGCTCAGATGCACACACAGATGTGATGGAGAAGCCGCTGAAGAAGCACACGAACGCGAGCGCAAACACCGTTTTTTTACCAGCTTTTTCCGTTTGCGTGAAAGCATGCATCCGTGCACGTGCCACGGATCAAACACAAGGCGTGCGTGGACGAGGAGGAGGAAGAGGATGAAGAGGAGGAGGATGATGCAACAGCGGCACAAGTTGATCCATCTGCATCTTTTCCAGTCTTCCCCGAACACACACACACATACACACACACACACTCACACACACATCACTCCGTCCACTGCAGTGCCCGGGACGTCCTATCACACAGCCACATCAAGCCTGGCAGCTCGCACACACACACACACGCACATACGCGCGCGCGCAGTGACGCTGAGTCAGATGGATGCTGATGCTGGTGCGCGCGCCCCCAGCGGCGAAACGCGGCACTGCAGCTGTCGCGCGGGCGTTAAAAGGCGGCGGGTCGCGCGCCGGGGCCACAGTGTGGGGCGCGCTGGAGCACGAGACAACCCAAAAGTTAGGAGCGGATTTCTTTTCCGATCTCTCTCTCTCTCTGTGTCTGTCTCTCTTTGGCACCTGACGCGCAGCTACATATTTCGAGATCATCATCATGGCAAATAAAGGACAGCAGCCTCCTCACCTGCACCTGGCCGAGGTCACCGCGTCCCAGTTCCTGGACATCTGGAAACACTTCGACGCGGACGGTAGGAGTTGGGTTTTTTTTTTTTTTTTTCTGCGTAAAAGTTGATTCACGTCGTCGCGAATGTGAACTGTTCAGGAAAATGTGGAAATTCATGCTGAACAAAAGACACCAAAATCGGTTTTTGTTACTTGTTTTGGATATGAAAAGGTCTCTTTGGGGTCATTTCTGATATAAGTAGGCGCATAAAGTCACTTTTCCGGTCCTGGTTGACTCCCGTAGAGTTTTATTCCTTTAATAAATGAGAGTTTTCTCAAACGTCTCCTCCTCTCCGTCGGCTTTCCTGCCACAATTAGATAAAAAAAAGTCTGAACAAATCATTCATTTCTCACATCAGATGTTTTACTTTGCACTTTAAAGCATCCTGTTTTGTCCCTGAAACGTTTTCAAAGGTTTCATGTAAAATATGCGTTTTTTCACCATGCAAAATGAAAAGTGACTCAGTTTTAAAATGAATGCACTGGTTTGATGTAGCTCATAGAAGATGTGAATGGTAATTAAAGGGGAATTTAGATGGCTAGATGGCATCCCTCTGCATTATTGCCTGGAGAAGTCTGTTCTGGTTCACAAAGTCCTGAAATGCTGCAGCTATTTCACATCATGTTCACAGTGAATTTCAGCCTCACTTTGCGTAGTTGAGCTTTTATTCTGTGTCTCGTGCAGATTCTGTGACTAAATCCATGACGTAAAGTGATTAAGTATGAATGATTCTCCTCTCTTGGATGCATATCCAAACAGAGGCACTTTTAAATGTCTGTGTTGAGTCTTCCTGGTTGGAAATGACCCGGCTTGATTATGGATTTTAGGGATGTGATGTTTGGAAACAGAAAATTGATCCATGGAAATTAAACCCTGAGCATCCCGTCCCCTGCACACATGCACGCAGAGCTTTATCAGCGCATCAGTCCTGATTGGGCGTGAGCCCCGCGTCCCTCCAAATCTCGCCTGAGCGCTCGCTTTTATGCCATAGGAGCTTTGCAGAGTCGGCGGTGGTTCAAGGACTTCCTGCTAACTGAAATGTCTGAAACTTGGCTCTAAAACAAGTAATCACTCTGAACCATCTTCTGGGGAGGCTTCAGCCCTGTCATGTCCCGCTCACACCTGTACACACTGCCGGTGTGTTGCACCTTTTGGGGTTTGCACACACTCTCCTGGGGATTCGCCGTCAGCATGATCTGTTCTGCTGAAGCGTTTTCCTCTGGGAAATCAAGGTGTGTGTGTGTAAGTGTGTGTGTGTGTGTGGGGGGGGGTGGGGGGTAGGGTGGAGGGTGAGCTCCTGTTGGCGTCAGTGTGCAGAGAAAGTCGACATGTCCATCGCTGGTGGACACAGGTGTGGAACTCCTCCGTCAGGAGCTGCTTTACATGCTGTCATTTGCAACGAGCCACTTTGCTAAACAAATGCGGCCAGTGAGCGTCCACAGATTTGGCTAGAGAGGCCGATCTTCGCTCTCATTACTGGGGAGTGTCGCCTGGAACTGCAGGAAAGAAATTAGAGCTAATTTGTTTGTCCGGATTGAGTAAACACTTCCAGGGAGCAGACAGAAATGCACAGAAGCGATGCGCCCAGAGATGATGAAACCACAGAGTCCCCCGTTGGCCCGCCACCAAATCTCCACTGGATTGTTTCTCTGCAGCTCCTCTGCGCGCCGCGCTCTCATCCTTCCCCCGTCAGGACTTCTAATTCATCCCCTTCAAAGCAGTAAAAAGAAACAACCCCCATTATTGCTAATTATAGCACATATCGCCGTCAGTCAGTCTCTCAGTGACCTGCAACCTGAAATCTGAGGCGCAAAGCAAAGCCCAGACTCCAGAAATGACCCCCAAAATATTCAAATAGATAGGGCTTCACTCTCCTTTGAAAGGCAAATGCATTTTACATCGGCTTTAAATATGCATTCGGTGTGCACAGCTGCCCGCTCTGAGAGTTTCTCCGTGTTGTGGGTCGGTTTTTTAGCATCAGAAATAAAGCTTCTTTACCAGAGTCTCCCGAGAACGTAGTGACGCAGAACCCCAAGGATGTTTGGACATGAAGGGGTTTTTGAGGCCCTTTTATCCGGGCGGCCATCTGATGGCGAGCTGGAAGAAACCTTCTCAGGGTTTCTGGTCAGTTTGTTTAGGAAATAAAACATGCAAAATGCTTTATTTGCCACATTTGCATGGATCCTGGACAATTTAAGGCAACATGGATGAATACTAATTAAAAGAAGAGAAAAATAATAATGACTTCCCTTTTGTTTAAAGGCTTCTGAGAACATAAAGCACTTTGAGAAGCTCTGCGGGCCGCACACTCCGATGCACGGAGAAGATGCCGGCGTGCATTTATTGCTGGAATAATCGTCTTGTAAATCTGTTTCCATTGTCATATTTTTTCCATTTTCCTTCTAGTTCATCACTTCTTTCTTTGTTTAATCATAAAGCGGGATGGCGTTTTCCTTCCAGTACGCCAAATGTCAATAAGCCCCGCAGGATTGGGGGGGGGGGCAGCGAGGCATTTTGCTGTCCCACTTACTGAAACATCAGAGTTTTTATTCATGAGTTTGATAACATCAGAGCTGCACGTGTGCGTGCACAAACACACACGTTCTCACCAACGGAACAAAGACGGCCAAGACGCTGATTGGATTTTTTTTTCTTCCTTTTTTTTCCCCCCAAAAAGGAGTCGAATGGAGAATAGTCGAGAACAGCAGAAAGAAAGTGCGAGTGAGAGGAAATGGATGGCGTAATAATCTTTGCTGGAGCTTAATGAGGCGGCTTCCCCCTTCCAGGGCCTTATTGAAGCAGCGAGTCGCATCGTTTGGGGCCATCTGTCCAGACATTCAGCAGGGCTCAGATTCTGTACTGGCACCGTGCTACACTACCTGCGTGAGGCAAACGCACCCATTTGTCCTCTCGAATGGGTTCCGTCAAGACACCAGGACATCAGGAATACGAATAAAACAATATATAGGAGGAAGAAAAGCAACTTCACGCCCCTATGAGATAATCAAATCCAAGAAATATTTATTTATCTAATTATTACACTGAACAGGCTAATAAATCTCTAAAGCTTCTATTAAAAACACCATTAAGGTGGAAATTTTTTATGATTGGTATCATTTAGCTATTTATTTTAGCTTTTTGCCGTCATCTATCACCAATATGAGGTTATATATCTTGATGAAATTTCCCTTGAATGCGCTATTGATCTTTGGTGAGCAGAAAGAAGGAGATCCTTCTTTTTAAAGGCCGTCCTACTTTAGAGCCCCGTGAACACATTAGTCTACGAGCAGTGATCAGTTTGTGTCGAGCCAGTCAATAGTGGCATCTATTAGAAGGAAGGGAGGAAAGCTGGCGTTTGAATCGATGGGAGGACAAAATGAGCGGGGATCAGGTCTCTGATGGGATCCAGTGACACCCAGTGTCCTCCGTCTGCCGCAGGTAATGGATACATTGAGGGAAAAGAGCTGGAGAACTTCTTCAGGGAGCTGGAATCTGCCCGGAGAGGAGCAGGAGTGGTGAGTTCAGGGACCGCCGGTCAGTCGTAGATCCACTTGGAGCGTTTTTTACTCACCGCCTCTGCCATGTGTTGCAGGACCCGACAAACCCCATCTTCAGAGAAAAGATGAAGGAGTTCATGCAAAAGTTCGACAAGAACAAAGACGGACGCATTGAGATGTCGGAGGTAAGTCCCTCAGGAAAACCAGGCTGGACAGCTCAGCTCCAGAGTTTTATGTGTTTTTGTTACTTCATTTTCTTGGCAAAACTTAAATGAGAATATGTATATCACCATTTTTAATCAACCCTTAACTTAACAGGAAGCAGTTAGACCACAGGGGGGGAAACAGGAAGTCTCTAACCAATCCAAAGACATTTTCTAGGCATGATCCAAAACGTGGGGAACCTCATCGGGCTGTTAAAGAGTCGGGAGGTCTTATGGGCTTATCCACAGATCAGGCTCACATTCTAATGTCGCCAGATTTGTCTCAATTAAATTAGTCACAGAGGCGGTCAGATAAGTTGAAACGCTGGCTGATCTGTGAGCCTTTGCAATCTTAATTTCTGACTGATGGCAGTAAATTCGGAAAGAGGCGACCTGTGCAAATCCAAGAACCAAGGAGTGAATGTTTCCCCTACAACTCAAACCCTTCACATTGTGACTCGTGGTGTTCAACCTCTGAGGTTCATAGAGTTACCTGGATGCACAAGAAGAAGAAGAGGAGGAAAAATCTGATGCTTGTTAGCTCTCCTACTGCAGTTGAAAATCTGATTAGATAAAATTCCCTTTACTGTAAAGTCACTTGTCAGGAATTCAAAGTAAATACTAGAAACTGCTACAAACAAATGAATCCAACCAGGTGAATATTGATCATTGACCAGCAAACAAACGCATCCAAACAGCAGGAAAAAAAACTAAACACCAACCAAACTCAGCAAAAGTCCTTTAAGAAAACACTAAAAAAACAGGCCAACTCACCTCAGATGACCACCTGGTATCAAAGGGCTTATTCAGGATCACCCCCCCACCTAAATCTACTTCCCCTTCCTGGATTTCTTCCTCTTCTCTCTCCAGTCGTCTACCCTAAGTGCTCCCCCTGCTGGGCCCCAGCTGCTTAACCATTGTCCTGCCACATTCACATTGGAAGAAAGGGGCAGTAAAGTTAGATTAGTCATTACAATCTGCAATTCTGAGAGTTTTCTTATTAAAAGCAGAAAAATAACAGTTTCTTGTCAAACATTTTGACTCCTTGGATCCCTACAGGTCTGTATTCTCAGGATTAGCTCACCGTTTAAGCTCAAAGTAACTGAGTTTTAATGAGTTGAATTTATATATCATGTAATAGGTGCAGTTTTCTGACATGAATATTCAACTCTGCCGACTAGTTGCACATCTAACCTCGATGCTAAAATGTTCATTAAGATTTTTAAGACAAAAAAACAACTGCAAGGAGCTCTGGAGAAGTGCTCACCGGGTTTTAATGACTGTGAGAAAATTGCAAACAGAGAAATCTGATCTTATGCGAAGCTCAAAATACTCTCCGAGAGGCTTCAGAGGAGATCGATGTTCATGCGTCTCTGCGAAATATTCATGAGAGATAAACCCTACTATTATTTCATTCTCTGGGAGAAAATGGAAGAAAATGCGAGGAAAAAAGCCAGCAATAATTGCTGCTTCAAAACAAGTCCTGTCAGAACATGATGAAGGGGGATTTGTGAAGGCGCTGGGCCTGGATGCTCCCCGCTGTTTAATCACAGCTCAGCAGCAGAAATGCTCGTGGCTGTTTCTGTTCTCCTGTTTTCGGAGGGCAGACCTGACGACTTAAGCCTTAAAAAGCCATTTTCTTAAAGTTTTCATCTTCTTTCTGGGATTTTCTGAAGCACATTTATTACTGTGAAGTTGAAACGATATAAGACAAAGACTTTCCCGTCAATTTGACCCCTTGACCTGCACATGTGGTCAGATTTGGCTCCACACTGCCCCTACTGGTCACATATACATTACAACCTGAGAAAATCAGCGTTATTGAGGATGTGCACAAATCTATGCGGCATTATCTGTGATTATAAGCAAAGTCCTGGACTTAAGCACGGCCCAGCTGCTGCTGAGTTCATCGATTCTATTATTTATCACTTTGAGTCTTTGCACAGAGAAAACTCCATTTCCTTTCTCCCAGTGCGTCCACTCCACCATCTTGTCCTCACCGCTCCCCTCTCCCTGTCACCTCTCTCTAGCTGGCCCAGATCCTCCCGACTGAGGAGAACTTCCTGCTCTGCTTCAGACAGTTTGTCAGCTCCAGCGCCGAGTTCATGGCGGTGAGTCTGCGTTTTGTTTGTTTCCCCGTACGCCCGGCAGCTTCTCCTCCCGCTCCTTTTCTCCACGCTTTGCTTCCGGGAGCTCCTCGTTTCTCCCTGAGTTGTCATTAATTCGAGTCAGCCAGCTGTGGAAAGCTCGTATTTTCCCACTCCCACCTACCGGCTGATTTCATAGGTGGACTCCCTTTGGTGGTTGCCGGTGTACCAATTAGTGACATGAAGTCTGGAGCAGGAAGCTGCAGACTGCTGCCCTCAGTTACACATGGCTGCACATGGCTGCTGTTGTGACTGCCAAGTGCCAGATGCTAGTTTTAAGCGCGTTAGCTGTACGTTGGGCTACAAATCAGGTGACCCCGGCAGCCCCAGTGACTGGTTAATTGGATGAGCACCAACAGAGGCTGATGAGTACGGCAGATGACGGAAGACGAGACAGATGCTGCTCCAGAAAATGAGGAGAGCGCCGATGTAAAGGGATAAAGGAGAGATCAGATGCCTGCGTCGGCCGCGATGCTTCCAAACACCGGATGAGGGGTTTAAAAGACTCGTTTGGCTCCAGCCAATCGAACCCCCTCAGCCAATGGGGGATTTCTGGGGTTCCTGCCAACATTCACTGGAGGAATTCCCTAAAAATCCAAACTCTTGGTGAACCGTGTTGGTAAAAAGCTCCCACTTGTGAGGCATCAGAGTAGCCGATGATAGAACGTAGAAAAATATGGAGGATTTCTCGCCTTGTATGTGATGGAACCCCTTTAAAAATACGCTGTTTCTTTTTAGTTAAACTGCGTTTGGTGGTCCTGTAGTTCTTTATGAGCTTTTACCTGGAATTCTGATGTTTTTGTGGACAAAAAATGCATCTATAACAGCCCAGAGCCAGCGGATTTGAGGCTCAGAGGGCTGATTTAGCAGTTCCAGGATCAGTAAACAGTCAATGTTAATCACTCAGGATGTAAATGTTACTCCAAAGAAAGCTTGTTCATGTCAGATTCAGCCTCCTTCTGGGTTTTGGGGGATTGTAAAGGTTTGTGGACATGCAGGATAAATCTCAGCTGAGGGTGTCAATGTAAAAGGAAAACGATTGATGTAACTTTACTGCAGGCTGCAGGTCAGACGTGTGTGAAATAGCTCAGAAAAACACCTGGAACTGTTTCCACCTCGACGACGTGACCGGAAAGCGTCTTTGGATCATATTGGTCCAGTAAACTAATCCTCCACTTTGGGGAAGTGTTACACCACCAGGGCTCACTGGGTTTTCTTTGAGGATGATTGATTTCCTTCCTTTTCCATTTATTAATCCCATAGAAAGGCAAAAAAAGGTTCTGTTGTGAGAAAATTCAGGTGCAGAAGCACGCTGTTCAGAAAATGCTTTATTTTTCATGTGGTCCAAAAAGTGAACCTTTACTTTTAAGAGTGAGTCTGAGAATCTGAATGAAAGACCTACGCCCTCTGTAACCCCATAATTCAACAACAGCCAGTTTGGCTAACAAATAACTGAGAAAATTGAGGAATGAATCAAAAACTGTTAAGATGCAGATCCAGTTCTGACACCATAAGCAGAAATAACTCATTATTGTGCTAATTCAACATTGGAACAGAAAATATCACTAATGGTAAACTTAACTAGCTCCTAAAGTCAGTATTAATCGTTGTCTGGACATTTTCCTGCAATAATGACCAAAAATAAGACTAAAAAAGGACATTCTGGATCTGACAGATTTTTGATGAGCAGTCGAACAGGCAGGATAGACACATAAAATGAGCTGTGAGTGACCGACTGGCTGCAAGGCCGAGCAGAAAAGAGGAACGTCTGCTTGTTTCTGTCAGCGCGCAGCACTCAGGCTGGAATTTTTAAGAAACCATTTACACGAGAATGTCTTAAGTTTGAGCCTCTGCCAGGTCTGAATAATAAATGAAGCTCAAAATGCTCCGAAGGTCGTGGAAAAAAGGAAATCATTTATTCCACCTCCGGAGGATACAGTAAGAGAAAATGGCAGATTTCATGTTGGATCGGCGGCGCTGAAAGAATGGAGGCAATTAGAAACCAATTACACCCGGAGAGGGGGCTCTCCTCGTCTGCCGTGTCAAATAGAGACAGAATAATGAAACCAGAGGAGAGAACGAGTGAGCGGGAGGAGGTGGAGGTGGAGGTGGAGAAGGATGCACAGAGCAAACGGGAGGACGAGGGGGGGGGCCGTAAATGAAATGTCGATGGGAAGTTGAGGGGCCAGAGTTTGAGAGCATAAAACAAGAGCGGGGGGATTAATCAGCCTTTGTTGGAAGGGGGCAGGAAGGGGGAGCGGGCAGGTTTCTAAAGGGTTAGAAGGAGGAAGCAGGAGCTGCTATTTTCAGAGTCATGTATAATGGATAACAGCACTGAAGCTCCTCTCTGCAGAGCCCGGTGGAGGCGGTGGAGAAGGGGGGAAGGCCATCCATCTTTGATAAGGAGCCCTTCTTTGGACAGGGACAGCTGCTAGATTAAAACATTCATTAAAATGACGTCCCGGCTCTCCGGCCGGCCGCCGGCCGCCGTGGCTGCGGCCGGCTTCTCGGGTCGTTACCTCTGGGGAAAAAAATGTAAACCCCAGCTTTTGTGTGCCACGGCTGAGGAGGATCTGTTAACGGTCTCTGTCTCCCGGTTGCTTGCAGGCGTGGAGGCGATATGACACGGACCGCAGCGGCTACATCGAGGCCAACGAGCTGAAGGTAGATAAGTATCCCGCTCCGGTTCACTCTGATCACGTTCACGTCCGATCGCAAACAACCTTTGATTCATAAATCCGCTTGCATTGTCGAAAACCCCGTTTGATTTTTGTCCCGTTTTTTCTCCCCTTCCCTCACACACCGACACACGCTCACCAACAGAGCACAAAACCTGCTCTGTAGCGGCCAGGCAGCCCGATGCCTGCCTAAAGCAGCTCACGTGTATTCATCTGTATGTGTGTGGGTGTTAAACTGCTGCTTTGCATGTTCATTTATTTGCACCAATAAAGTGAATGGAAAGAAATTGGCATAAACGATCCTCTAAATGTTCTTGTGTCACGATCAAACAGAAAACGTCCTTTCTAAAACCTTCTGAATTCATGGATGAAAACTGAGTAAAATGTGTTTTTAAGAGCAGATAACAGACACGGCTCTCCTGTTCGCACGCTTCATCTGAAGGCAGATTGTGTGAGGAGCTCCGAATGGGACAGAAGTGTCCTGTTTTTGTTTCGAAATGAATCGGTCTACGCGAGTGAAGCCCATTTTGCCGTGGAGAGGACATGCATTGACATGTGAAACAGAGGCTCAGAGCTGTTAAAGTCCCATCTCTTACAGAGGACAGCAGCGCATTGCTGCCTCTCAGGTGGTGAAAACTAATCATGCACACACTCAGAACACACTCCACTCCTTCCCCTGTGCGCTCAACCTCCTCCACTTATAATTTTGTGCCACTGACAGGCAGCAGATTCTCCCTCCTGATAAATACTTCCTGTTTGGTACTCCTCATTTCTGTAGCTTTTAAACTCTGGCTTTCGTGAGCGCTGCCTTTGAGCCTAATCAAACGCCACAGCAGGCCCAGTAAGGCATCACTTCAGCTCAGTTTAAACCGTGGAAACACTGGACGGCAGCAGCACGGCTGCTCTCTCCTTGATCAGGTTCCAGATTTTCTGAGAAGCTGAGTTAGACTCCGGGTTTTCGGAAACTGATCTGCAGCTTTGGTGCACAGAACTTTGGTGCATAAACAGACATTTTGCAGCTTTTTCCAATTGAAAGTTGAATCGTTTGTGCATAATTAGTTTTTCAGCTGCCTGGACGGTCCTGTTTTTGTCTCACATGGCAGGCAGCTGTTTCCAGTCCGGTGCTGAAGGCGTGAGGAAGAAAAACCTTTGGGGTTTTTTTTTGTCAGCGTTTCGATGGCAGTTTGGAAAGGCCGATTTGATGTGCTGACCCTCTCTGTGCACACAAAATGTCACCACGAGCTGCGAGAGTTGTTAGTTCTCTGCTAAGTTTAGTGCATTTGAATGCAAACCTCTCCCAGCTGTGATGTCATGAGAGCAAAACCCGTGAAAACGTTGTTCAAACAGCCTGAGACTGAGCCTTCTGCATCCACAGCCTGCACAGATCCAAACAGACCGCAAACTAAAGCAGCAAAAACCTAAAAAACACAAAAGGACTGGTACATTTTCTGCCACCAATCTGTCTCTCTTTCTATGGTCTGATTGACAACTTCTCCATGTCAGGAAATATCTTTTAAAAGCTTTTCCTTTAAATCACGAAAACGTGGCTCATTTTATTTAAAGGCGTGACTCTTTGTCTTGTGCGAAGATTTCCCAGAACATCAGAGAGTTTGTGCTTATATAATCTGAGATCAGGTGGAGCCACACGGTGTCAGAATGACTTTAAACCAGGGCTTTAAATCAGCTGCACCACTGTCTTTCTTTTTTTTCTGGACACCAAAGACCAAAAAGCTGCAGATCGATGGGTTCATCTTTAGTTTAAATCTTCACATTGCCTCTGGACAGAGACACTGAAATCCTGAAGGAAACTTTTCATCGATTCGGAGGGACTCAAAGCAGACAGTGAGGAATGACTCCTCTGTACTTTTCCACATCTCTGTGGACCAGCGCCTCTGGCTTTCCACCACCGATCCATCCAATGTCCATTATCATAGTAAAGGGGGCTTCATGTACTTTAAGCCTTCGGTTGAGTCGGTTAAATGTTCAGGTTTAATTCTCCCGTCGCTGATATCACGCCATATTCAGCTGTGCAAAGAGTCTAAAACATCTGCAAACATCTGCTTCTCCATCTCCTCACTGGCAAATACAGGCAGTTTGAAGAAGGTCTCTGCACTTAAATATACTCAATACCTCAGATCTTATTGTTTTAAGGCTATTTCACGACTAAATCCTGGTATTTAAACTGCTTTTAAACTTGATTTGGGGCTATTAGAAAAGATTTTCTACAAAAAAGTGATCATACAGTCAATTAAAGCTGATTCATGAATTTATTTTCCTGGTAATGTTAATAAGTATTTCTAGAATCTGAACACACATAATGTGACACATAATGGACATGGAGAAGGTTTGAGTTTTGGCCACTCCTGATTGGTCAGAGCCTATGACGTCACCAGTGGGGAGGCGACAAAGTTTGAGACTGCTGCTCTGAATTGGTTGATGCTTCGATTAATTCAAATGACTTAATTCTGCTGGATTGATAGGGCTCAGAACCATTAGGGGGACTCTCTCTTGAACCTTCTTTCCTTCCCTGTCTGCAGCATCATTAATCCCATCTATGCATAAGAGGGGTTTTATTTTGTGAGCTTTCATTGTTGTTGAAAAGCAGAATTGTGTATCATTATACCATTCGATCCTGGTCTGTCTCACTGTTAACCCCGTTAGATGTTAAAGTTTCTCTTATTATGATTCAACATCAGAAGTGTTTCCAGCCTGAGGGCATTATTGGCTGGTCCGGTTTGGAGTCATTAACTATGGCCGTGTTCCTTTCCGCATTTAGCCCGCGGACACACAAACCTGCCGTCATTATTTCACTGAAGTGAGTAAACACAGTCAGTCAAAGCTGCCCGAGAGCCTGGAGGACTCGTTTGAATGTTGAATCAGTTGTGTTCACCCTCCGTTGTTTGAGTCCGTGTGAGCATCCAGGAGGGGCCTCCTCACAGTTCAGCCCCAGATGTGCTTGTCCAGATGCAAAAGCCCCGCCCGGGCGCCGCATTAGGGGCGGCGTATCTTTTTCTGCACAGCAAACCCAAAACTGCACAAATCACCACAACAGCGTTGTATCCTGCCCTGTCTGTCTGTTTCTTTCCCTCCATCTAATTCCCTTTGATCCAGCCTTTCTTTGCTTTTGATTCTTCTTCAAACTTCTTTCCTTTGACAGGTTTTTTGTTCTTCTTAACCTTTAGGAAACCCACTAATAATTTTGCATGCCCTTTTACGCATTTGACTCGATGTGAAAGCTGCGATCCGCCTATCTTTTTTCCTTTGACCTGCCTCTTTGTTCTCCTCCAGGGTTTCCTTTCAGACCTGCTGGAGAAGGCCAACAGACACTACGATGACCAGAAGCTGCAGGAGTACACACAGACCATAGTAAGGCCCAACCCCTAACCGAGAGTGTCTTCTCTGAGCAGCACAGGAACACGTGGTGCATCGTAAACTCGTCCTCGGTCTTGGGGGGACATGAGCCGGGGGGGCCGGTGGTGCTCCTTCGTGTCGTCTGACCGCAGCCCAGATGTGCCAACAGCTGCTTCGCCCCTGGAGCCCCGCAGCTCGGCTGACCTGGTTTTTCCGAAGCTCAGACACAAAACCCTTCGCTTCTTTTGTTTTGAGCAAAAAAATTATCAGAGGTTGACAAACCGGGGCCAATCCCAGCAGCCCCCAGGCAGGACACCCAGACAAGCCACAATGCATTCTGGGAGCTTTGAACAGTTTTTTATGGAAGCCCAAGACGTTACAGACCACTTATGCACACGTTCTGGTCAGCAGATGGCTCAGGTTTTCTTAATTATTAGATTAGTTTGACTGGACTCCTCCAGACACCTGAATCTAATCAGCAATAACAAAAAAGGAGTTGTAAAAGCTCCTGGGACGTAATCCCATTACAGCATGTTTGCATTAACAAACATTTTGGTGGAAAAAACAACCAATCAGAGCAGGTTCTACAGGTAACGTGAGAAATCAGAGAAGAAGAGCAATCTGAGGCGTTTCATGGAGATCTGCACCAGGTGTCTGTTGTTTTTCTATTTGCTTCATGTATTAGTTTCCTTCTGGGCTTTTGCTGTAAAATATGATGCTTTTTTCTTGAGTTTTTATGGGTTTATTGATGCTCACTTTATTGGTCCCCTGTTAGACCTCCAAAACTAGTAAACAAGTTGTGGATATATAACAAAAAGAGAAAAAACATTCATTTTTTTGCTGCAGAAACGGTAGACTGTGTAAAATTATCAGCACCTTCCCCTCATTTCTGTCCTGCTCCTGTTTGCAGCTCAGGATGTTTGATCTGAATGGAGATGGGAAGCTGGGCCTCTCAGAGATGGCGAGGTAATTTGCAATTTTCCTCGCTTCTGCTCACAAAATAGATGTTGAATCACATTTCCTCCTGGCGTTCATTCACTGTCAGCAGAATTTAATAATTGAACCTCTTTCTGCGTCCGCTAATGAAGTCATTCTTTTCCACAGGCTTCTTCCCGTGCAGGAGAATTTCCTGCTCAAATTCCAGGCATGTAACGCTTTTTCAGAGCAACGTTTAACGGCAGCCCAGTAAAAACCTGCCGGTATCATTTGGTCTGTGCAGTTTATCGCCTGATAATTAAGTCAAATCCTGCATTTACAGGGCGTCAAGATGACTTCTGAGCAGTTCAACTCCATCTTCACATACTATGACAAGGTAAGGCTGTCAATACTTTCCACGTGAACCAGCTTCTCTTATTAGATATCAGCTGTCTGTGTGGTTTGGCTGGACGCCTCCCTGTCCAGCCTTGAGCCCAGCTGATGTTTTCTCTGATAAACGTGCGACGTGCAGCCGTACTTTGGTGCTAACATTGATAGTAACAGCTCCCTCTGGTACGAGCACGCTGGCGCTGAATGCTGATGAAATTACACTTTGTATAAACATCCATCTGCTGGGAATTGGGTTTTAATTTGACCGAGCTGCACCTGAGGGCTGCAGCGTGAGGCAGAAGTAATGCGGCTTTTTTTTTTTAAAACGTCAGAGTATCTGAGTCAAATCTGTTTGTTCGGAAGCAGCTTTCTGTGAAAATCATCAATATGCAAATTCTTTGTTTTTGCACCCGAGGCGCTCCCTTGTCCACCAGCCAAATGACTTGGGCTGCACACCTGTCCCGGAGTAAACAGCTCCAGGAAGCCGAGCCGCGGTTCAGCTAATGGCCATGTTTTCCACATTAGCAGTCGATAGGCGGGGAGCGACCAAAGGGAGCAGCGTGATGCAACAGGGGAGGAGCAGAGCCCCTACGGCTCACCTGCTGCTTAGGCTGAGCCCTGTGAGCCGGGGCCCTGCAGCCCAGGGCCTGTGAGGGCTTCTGGGCTCATGTTTAGGGAACAAACTCCTCTGGAGTGATGCTGGAAACTGATGCGTTTTCCACCGACTGGCAGCAGAGATCCAACCGAGCAATTAAAACCCCTCATTACTCCTCAAAAACATCCAAAATGTTTCCCATAATGGGTGAACTCTGGGTTTAAAATGCAAACCTGTCCTGTTCAGGAGCTTTGTGAATGATTATTTATGTAAGGTTACATTTTTTTAACTCTTATTTCCACCTATATAAATGTTCTTTAGAATATCAGAGAAGAATTTCAAGCCCTTTAAGGTTTGACTTGGAGAATTCAGTTACATTTCTTTTGAAGGTAAAATGTCATTGAATTAGATTTATGATTTTAAAAGGAGAGATGACCAGGTCAGATGTTTTTAGCTGTCAGATAAGGGCAGACTCAAACACAAAAGTCTCCAGGTAACATTTGCATATTTTTCTAAAAATCCATATGTTTATCATGACGTGTCAAAGAAAATTAAGTTTTGCTTTGGATCTTTTGAAAACTGGAGTTCTTTGTTTCTGTGTTGCTAATATGTTCCACATCTAATAATTTAGTTTTGTGCACAATTGGATTTTAAAAGCGATGCAACAATCCCTTTGTTTGCATTTTATTATTATATATATATATATACATACATACATATATATTTGATACATTTCTAACACAAATTTTCCCTGTGGACATTTTGAATGTGCTGGTATCCACTAGGCTTTAGCAAAAGAGAAGTTTTAGTGCTGCATCTGGGCCTCTCTGGCTAAATAACTGCATGCAAATTGCAAAGCAATCCACGTTGATCTGAATGCAAGATGCCCATTAAGACAAAAAAAAACAATTCCTTTTTTTTCTTTTCTTTTCCAAATACACAAAAACAATTCCAAACAACTGACTGTAAGAGAACATAAACATGCAGACCGGTGCCTTCCGTTAATACATAAAGACGCTAAACTAATGTAGTTTTTAATGAAAATTAAGCTTCAGCCATTTTGTGTCAGCATTTTGATGCTGTTTCTGGGTTAGCTGCAGCATCTTTGAAAAACAGCAAAATGCTGCGTCCTGAAAACAGGAAAAGTAAGAATTCTGTATTTGTTTGTATATTTGTTTTACGGTTGGTTTTTTAACTGCAAAATAGTTCAAATGTGGTTTTGCAGTTGGGGAAGGAGTGTGCTGATTTTATTAAGGGGATCTGATCTGGGGCGGACCAATCACAGCAGACTGGGCCTTTTAGCAGACGTCAGCATCCCCGGTTGCTTTCTGAGGAGCCTTTAGTTGGTTGGAAGGTTGCGAGTTTTCTGAGGTCAGAGTTGAATGTTAAATTATAATTTAGTATAAAGAAAGGCACTGCTGTCCCTCTGACTGGAGCACCATTTATGGATGTGAGGAGTTTATCTTTTTGTTTTGAGCTCAGCCCCTGCAGCCCAGTGATGCCCAGTCAGCCGGACGCCAACATGACTGACAGGCTGCAGCCAAAGACTGCAGGAAAAAAGGCCAAACCCCAAGAGGGCACAGCCTGGCCCACGCCTCATGTCGCCCTCAGCCCTTTATCCTTAAGGGGAAAATGGAAATGAGGTTAGAATAGAATGACACCTAAATTTGGGTCTGTAAACAAAATTCCAAAAATCTCTGAAGTCATCTTGATAGGGAGCCCGGACAAACAGATCGTGCTCCAATGCCACTCGCCAAAGGCAACTTTCCAGTAATTTGGGCTTATCTTTTGGCCCAAAACCGCATAAACACAATGAGGCATATCTGGTTAATTAAAAAAGAAGCTGCATGTTAACTTCCCAGCTCCCCCCTTTTCCAGAGATGTGAATGGAGGTTGTTTTTGTGATCATTTGGCTTCGACATTCATGATCGCAGCCATAAAATGAATGAAACTTAGAAAAGAACATCCAAACATGCACAAGTCATCCCTGTATTCAAACCCAAGGGTCCATTTCTTCATGAAGAACAATAACCCTGATCTACAGGGCTTAAATATGGACATCTATGGAGATCCTTTGGTGGTGGAAACATTCCCATTACAACAGAAAATCGATGCATCTTTGTTGCTTCTTTTTTTTTTTCTTGTTGCTTCGGCTGAAACGATATCAGAAAACCATCGGGGGTCACGCTGTAGAGTTCATCTCACGCTCCATTCTTCCTCAGGCTGTGGGTCACAGCTCTCAGAACCTGTGCCCTTCTGTGTATTCCCCAGATAACATCATTTCCAGCTTTTTCCATGCATCTCTGCAGGTTGTGTGAGTGTTTGTGGAAGCTTTGGTGTCCCTGGACACACATGGACCCAGCATATGAAGGGGAGCATAAAAACCTCACAAATTTGAATTTCTGGTACAGAAAAGTCCCACATCATCATCAACAGGACTCACAAGAGTCATCAATGAGGGTCTTAATTTCTCTGTAATTATCCAGATAAATATTCAGGATTTGTGGCTCATTTATAGTCACAATTGGGAGCAGTGTTGTAATTTTAGTTTAAAGAAACTCACTAGTATTTCTGGATTTTTTAGGGTATTTTGTGTTATTTTGGCAGTTTGTTTGCCCTGCATGTTTTCTAGTGTTTTTCTGAGAAGGTTCTGGGTTTATTCCCGGCTCCTTGTATTGGTTTCCCCCCGGTCACGTGCTCCCCTCCCTTCTCCTGTGCTCTGCATCCTCAGCTGTGACCTCTGTGCTTCAGCTCTCTGGTTTCTGCACTCAGTTGTTCCTGGATCTCTGTGTTTCTCCACAATCCTGCGCAGACACACACACTCCTCTGAGACGCTTTCCCCTAAAGCCTGTTGTATTAGTTTGGAAATTAAGTAACATTTGTGTTTTTTGTTTCCAGGATGGAAACGGCTACATCGATGAGCACGAGCTGGAGGCTCTGCTACGAGACCTTTACCAGAAAAACAAGAAGGTGAGAGTCGGATGAGGTTTCTGGCATTACAGCGAATGAGAATCGATGCAGTTTGTGCTTTGTTCAAGTTCAAACTTTTGTTTTCGCGTCCGGGCCACAGTCTAACATCTCTGCCATCGTTTCAGCCCCTAATACACTTTAAACTCTTATAAAAAAAAAAACTCCTTTTCCACATGCCATGCCCACATGTCGGAACATGCAGCATGTGTTGCTCCGGTTCTTAGAGCTCAGATCAAAAGCTTTACTGATACCAGCCACAGATCCAAGCTTATTAGCTGTTTATCACTTCCGTCCAGGACGTGTTTAAAAGGCCCAGGAGAAATCAGTCTGTTCAGAGAACACCATGAGAGGGAGGAGAAGCAATTTAAATCAAAGCACAGAAACGTTCAGGAGTTAATTTCCTTTTATATTCGCTTTGGCTCTCGTTCTGTTACTGCAGGGAAAAAAGGGGGAAATGTTCATGAATTTTCTCTTTTGCTTTCAGTTAAGTGAATTTCTATTAATCTCCTGATTGAGAGTCAAATATCAAATAGATCCTGAGCTGTAAACCTATCTCAGTTCATTATTGAATAGATGAGCTGGTGTAAACACAGCTGGAGGATCTTTCTTTTTCTTTTTTTTCCTTTTTTTTAAGAAAACAATGTCACTAAACCTGAAAAGTAAATTCACAACCAGACACCAG